GCGCCGAGAGCTGGACGAATGTCGGGGAGAGGAGCGCTAAGACCTCAAGGCGGAAGTTGCTATACCAGAGCCACAAGGGATGGTTTGTAGGGGTCATGCCTTCGTTTGAGAGCCAGAAAGCAATACAACAGAGAAGTAGATGGCACACATCTGCTGTGGAGTAGAGGCGCTTGCCATGTTGGTTCACCATCCAACTTTTTTCACCATCTACTTTCACCCAACTGTTTGGGCGAATCTCTTTTCGGAGTGTTCCTGTACCAAGCTCCCTAACATGTTCGTCTACAGCATGCATTATGCGCTTTCTCAAACGAGCAGCCACCAAGAAAGGCAGCAGCCGCCGAACTCCTCCGGAAGATTTCGCCATGGCACCAAAACGCCTAGTGCGTTGAGCACGGAAATGCTGGGCGGGTGCAGTGTCATCTCGTGCTGGCCTGCCGTGCTGGCTGCCGGAATTGGGCCACTGTTTTTTTGCGAGGGCATGTTGTGGCACTCAAGGATGCAACGTGTTAGACGCAGCTTAAAAGTTGAGGAGCAGCTGCCCTACAAAGTCAGTAACTTGGAGCATTCAAACGCCAACAGCCCTTGCGACATGGTTCTGAGAGGCACTTCTATTAAAATCTTCTGCAGCGCACGCTCATGTCGAAGCAACGCTGTGTGCTTGAACTGCCACTGCGCAGTTCTGAAACTAGTCTACAAGAAGCAGTGGAACTATATAGGGTAGTCACTCAACAGTTTGTGCGGTCCAATGCCAATCAGAACTTGGATCCGCACAGCTCGAAATCAAAACATGTGACAGCATGGGCCATGACAGGTGCGTAAACAGCTTCGAGGCAGGTTTCAAGATCCATGGACAATGGAAACCCTGCAAATCATCCAAGTCAATGCTACTGAGTGTGGACAGCCTGCCTCGCTTGTTTTTTGTGGATGTCTTGCGCGCGGTTGGGAATGCTTATGCTAGGCCCAAACCAAAATTGAAAAACATACGGCGGTATCATTGCTTACTTGGTAGCACATCAGCGCAACAGTGGGCAATGGCTCGTTCCAGGCAGGCATAGAAATGACTATCCTTGAATCATGTCAATCTCAGATCAATCACGATGCTTTGATATGCTGATCCTGGGGTCGATTGACCCAGAATGAAATTAGCGGTCGTTTCCCAAAACCCACTTCAGGCTACTCTGAGAACCCGCCTGCCCCAGAGGACAAACCCGCATATGAATGACATGGATCCGTGGCAGGCTTCAACAGGCTTCCATCGGAAACAAATAATTGACTGTGAGTCGATCTGTTGCGAATCGAGGCCTCAGCCACCTTGCAGCCCATGTTTGCTGACCTTGGTTGCCAAAGCTGACTTCAACAAAACCGATGATTTGCAGCCACCACACAGCATACTTTTGCAATTTTGCAACGAGAAGCACCATGGCAATCGAAACTGCGGTGGTCCACCCCACTTGTGGGTTGGGGTGGGTGCAAGGGTCTGAGGCTGTCGCTACGTCGCACTCACTGCGCCCAACGTCCCCCCAGGCTTGACGCTAAAGGCTCACCATGCTCACCCAAAGACGATTTCCTGTGGCAAACTCCACCCACTCGCAAGCCTCAAGTCTGGCTTAGGCGTCTCTCAAGATGACAGCTCATTCGCCTTTTGTTTGACACTCTTTCAGGGGCTTGAGTTTGGTCAGTGCACGCAACACCCTGCAGCACAGCCTCAGGTTGTGGTACGCATCTTGGGGCTTGTGCTTCCTTCCCGAAAGGATTTGACAACATAGTTCTGCCAGGCCTTCAACCCTGGAAGCCACAAAATTGGGCACTCCAAAACCGTACGTCATTCCCGTGGATAGCGCCCACGGCTTGCCCCCTTCACCCCCCCCCCTCACCCCGGTCCCCCCACTCCCCCACTGCCGAGCCGATGGACGCGCTTGTGCCTTTTCGTGCCCTCTGCATTTTCCGGCGCCGGCAGCGCTTTCAGCCGCTGTGAAGCAACCAGGTCTTGGAAGGCCGTGACAACCTGCCCAATCCGTTCTAACATCTTACACAGTGAAAGCAAACGGCACAACTCCCTGGCGGAAAGACGGCGGAATGACTAAACCAAAAACCATGTCTACTGTCACCCAACTGTAGCCGGCCTCTAGTTAGCACCTTGCCAGGTATTTTACAAGTTTGTGGTGTGTCTCGCACATGCCTACTCTGTCTGGCATGCGTTGAGCTAAGAGTATTGTTGCTCTTGAATTTGCTCACCATGTTTGGCATAGTTCTACAAGCGCAACGTTGACCTGGCATGAGGCAAAGATGTGTTCAACGTCAGTCTGGCAATGTATGCATGGTTGTAGCAATGTGTGGTTGTGTGTGTGTGTGTTTCTGTTGTTGTTTATGCTTGTTTGTGTGTGCCCAACGCAGTTCTGGCGTAGCCTTGTCAAATGTGCGTGCGTGCGCGTGCGTGCCTGGGTGCGTGGGTGGGTGCGCGGGTGTGTGAGAGTGTGTGTAATGTGTATGTGTATGTGTTGTGTGTATGTGTCTCTGTGTCTCTGTGTCTCTCTGTGTCTTTCTGTGTCTCTCTGTGTCTCTGTGTGTCTCTCTACGTCTCTCTGTGTCTCTCTGTGTGTCTCCGTGTGTGTCTGTGTGTGTGTGTCTCTGTGTGTGTGTGTCTGTGTGTGTGTGTGTCTGTGTGTGTGTGTGTGTGTCTGTGTGTGTGTGTGTCTGTGTGTCTCTGTGTGTGTGTCTCTGTGTGTGTGTGTGTCTCCGTGTGTGTCTCTGTTTGTGTGTGTGTGTGTGTCTGTGTGTATGTGTGTCTGTGTGTCTGCGTGTGTGTGTGTGTGTGTGTGTGTCTGTGTGTGTGTGTCTGTGTGTGTCTCTGTGCGTGTGTGTCTGCGTGTGTGTGTGTGGGTGTGTGTGTGTGTATCTGTGTGTGTGTGTGTGTCTGTGTGTGTGTGTGTCTGTGTGTGTGTGTGTGTCTATGTGGGTGCGTCTGTGTGTGTGTGTGTGTCTGTGTCTGTGTGTGTGTTTGTGTGTGTCTGTGTGGGTGTGTCTGTGTGTGTGTGTGTGTGTCTGTGTGTGTGCCTCTGTGTGTCTGTGTGTGTCTGTGTGTGTGTGTGTCTCTCTGTGTGTGTGTGTCTGTGTGTGTGTGTCTCTGTGTGTCTCCGTGTGTGTGTCGCTGTGTGTGTGTGTGTCTGTGTGTGTGTGTGTCTCTGTGTGTGTCTCTGTGTGTGTGTGTGTCTCTGTGTGTCTCTGTGTGTCTCTGTGTGTGTGTGTCTGTGTAAGTGTTTGCGTGTGTGTGTGTGTGTGTCTCTGTGTGTGTCTCTCTCTGTGTCTGTGTGTGTGTGTCTGTGTGTGCCTCTGTGTGTGTGTCTCTGTGTGTGTGTGTCTCTGTGTGTGCGTGTGTCTCCGTGTGCGTCTCTGTGTTTGTCTCTGTGTGTGTGTGTCTGTGTGTGTCTGTGTCTGTATGTGTGTCTCTGTGTGTGTGTGTGTCTGTGTGTGTGTGTCTCTGTGTGTGTGTGTGTCTCTGTGTGTGTGTGTCTATGTGTGTGTGTGTGTCTGTGTGTGTGTGTGTCTGTGTGTGTCTCTGTGTGTGTCTCTGTGTGTGTGTGTGTCTCCGTGTGTGTCTCTGTTTGTGTGTGTGTGTCTGTGTGTGTGTGTCTGCGTGTGTGTCTGAGCATGCGCATATATGCATACAGAGATGTCTACATACGCACTGTGAAGAGAGCGTGTTTCTGGCATATCCGTTGGATGTATTTCCAGATTATTCCTGAAGAATGTTTCGCTGTGCATGGCTCTGAGCATGGCTCGCCTTGTTATTGCCTGGCTGGGCGTCCTTCCAAAATATGCTGGATGGTACGCCCATGACCAGCCTCGTCTACATGAGCTCTGCTCGTCTCCAAGTCTTCCAAGTCCATGTCGGTGTCTTCGTAGCCCGCTCTGTGCGCCAATTCCTGCACGCAAAAGGTAGCCACGACCAACTTCAATTCGAAGCCCGTAGTGGCCACATTCGTAGCACGAGCAGAGCTTCTTTTTCCCTTGCAGCGCAGGTTTGCTGTAGGCTTTAGACTGCTTCAAAGCATTGTCTAGCTTGGCGTTGGTCTGATTTGGTTGCAGAGTTGAAGCGTTGGTCCAAAAACCGCCAAGCCAATTGGACACCAAACAAGCAGCAGGAAGTGCGAAACCAGCCCCAAATCCTTACATCAAACTGTCAGCTTTCCCAAACCAACCAAAAATCAAGCTGAAGCCTGCCCAAGCACTTGACTTGAAAGCCGTGCTGTGGACCTTGTTCCTGGCAAAGGGGGTGACAACCGGCCGAGCCACCAACCAAAGCAAGCGATCGACCGAGCAACCAAGCAAACAAGCAAGCCTCGAGCCGGCTCCAAAAAAAAGCGTCACCTCCGGCTGCAACGGAGGGAAAACCTCAAAGTGTACGGCGATATGTGACAAAGAAATACAACATTCTATGAGGCTTCCCTCATAGTGATATTAACTTTGGGTAGGGCTACTCGGCTGCTCTTTCAAACTTCGACAGTAAAAGCCACAATCTCCTGTTGACAGTGTGTCTTGCCCAACCCGTCCATGGAGCAAATCCTGACCCGCCTCGAGCATGTGAGTGGCCTCCTCTGGAGACTCAAAGCTCTGCTGCGCCTCCGGGTAGGATGCAGCCAAACAAGCCAAGGAGGAGTGATTGGGCTACATGGGGATGGTATGTGTGAGATTAAGCTGGTGCTCACAACGGATGGCTAGGCTGGCAAGTGGGCAGCCTGGCAAGCAAGAGGCCACTCAGCGTCTATATCCACCTGCAGGCAAGCAGCCACATCATCCATGGACACCACACCTGCCAGCGAAAGGAGCACTGCATGGCTGATGCCAACCAATGCAAATCGCCTGGATCCAAAGAGTCAAAGCCGACAATGTTACTTGCTCGCACTGTCGAGCAAAATATGCCAAGCGCCCGGCGGGCTTGTGTCTCAGCCGGTACATTTAGTGTCGTTTGAGACGCTGTTCCATCAAGCCTTCAATCGCATGCGACCCATCCAAACTCCGCCATGTCTTGCGAAAGGGATAGGCCCATGCAATTTTTGCAGCGGGCCTCCGTCGCCCAACTTCTCCATCAGGACTTCGGGGCGCAGGGGGAAGGACTTGTAGCTGGCGTGCGATGCAGGGCCACGCAGCTCCTGGGCCCCAAAAGCAACAGGCACGCCAAGTCATCCCCGAAAAGAGGGAATCATGCAATCACAAAGCTGGTGGCGTCATGAATCGAAGCCGCCTGGCTTCCTGGGCTCATAATCAATCTGCCAAACCACCGTTGACCCCTGGCCTGATCCTTCATCTGCTGCGTAAAAATGTGCAGCTCCAGTTGGCAGGGTGCTCGGGTGGAGCTGAAGGCCACATAGAAATCAGTAACCTGAGCGGCCCATCCCAACAACCATACTTGGGTTCTGGCAACCACTCGCGGGTTGACTCGGTCGATACACGGGCTAACGAGGGGTGTTGGTTACCACAAGCAAGTAAATGCCAAAGCCAGGCGGGAGTTCTCATGGCTTGCCAAGCCTGCCCAACATGGTCGATCACTCGCCTAGTGGTGACTCCAGTATTGGACACTGCCTTCACGTACCTATGCCAATTAACTGGCTAATTCGCCGTTGGTGCGTCTCTGACTCTTGTCGAGCACACCTCAGCCCTGTGTCATTTCACACTCTTAAAGTCTTAGAGCACTAACCTGTCTCACTACGGTCTAAACCCAGCTCACGTTCCCTATTAACGGATGAAATATCCGACACTTTGAGACTTCTCCATCTCAATGATAGGAAGAGCTGACATCGAAGGATCAAAAAGCAACGTCGCTATGAACGCTTGGCTGCCACCAGCCAGTTATCCCTATGGTAGCTTTTCTGACACCTCCAGACGTCCGAAACAGGAAGCTCTAAGTAATAACAGGTCTGTAATGCCCGTAGATGTCTTGCGTGCTTCCATAAGTATCCTCAATTTTGAATATCTGTTGTGGTGGGGCTAGTTGCTTCTAATGATTCAATTTCAATGAGGAATTCCTAGTAACCCTAGAGAAACCATTCTGTGTCGATTGAGTCCCTGCCCTTTGAACACACCACCGCACAGGCGGCAAAGCAAGCAGGCGCTCTTGACAATTGAATGTCAAGCCGGCGAAGGTACTGGCAAAAGCCGCGCTCGAGCCCCATTCATTCTCTCACAGGTGTAAATCAATGAAGCCGAGAGGCAAGTGTCAGGTGAATTGCCTGGCCAAACCGGCGCCAAGTCAAGCTGGGTGATATAAAGGTTCAGGGTGCCTGTGTAATTCACCGGGGCAAATGCTGATTGATTCTCGATTGGAAGCTGCCACATCCCACACCCAAACAAGGAAATAGCAACAAGTCCACCCACAAACCGCAGCGCAGGGTGCAGGTTGTAAGCTTCGGTCTTAGGTACCCACCAGTGGTAACCAGCACCGAACCCTCTAACACACCGGCAGCTGTGCCTGGTAGCCGGACTTCTTTGGCCGCAGCACGTAGTTCTTGAAAGACTTGGGCGCAACAATCCAGCCGTTCTCCACACCTTGCCAGTTGCGATGATAGTCACTCCGCCTTTGAGCAAAAGTTACAAACAACAGCTGTGTTTTCCTTTGTGGATGGGGCAAGCGAGCTCCATTATTTCGGAACAGATCGCAACAAGCCACACACTTGAATTCCATGTCGTGAATGTACCACCCTATGCACCCCAAGTGGAACGTCTGCCAGCGCAACCTAGCAGGTACATAGCATGCCTTGCGTGAAACAATCAGCAAGAGTCAGTGTCGCAGCATGTTGCAACCACCAAGCAGTACCTTGTCGGAACTCTCAACTCGAATCGCATTCAGCCAACTTCACCATGGCACTGGAGACATACCGCAGGATGCCGCTGGCAGCCGCCAAAGCCGCCATCTCGCCCTCATGCAGGGATGAAGCGGCTACCCTGCACACACCTACCCTTCTTTCCTAAACCCATTTTGTAGCTTTCCCCTACAAAGTATTCCGGTTCGGCTCGGAGATGCATGGTCTTTGAGTTGATTCATTGTCTTTGCCTGTCTTCCTCCAGGTTGGGGCAGGGTGAGGGCCTATGGATTGCTCCAAGCTGGTATGTTGCATGTGCTTTCCCTGCAAGAGGGCAGCTTGTGCCAAAGAATGGGCTTGTTTTGTTTGTCGAGATTTGCGGCCATTTCGGGCACTCGGGGGCCAGGAATTGTGGTCGCCACCCTTGTGTGCGTCAAGCTGTGCCAGGCCCTTGTCCCCTTCCCCGGCGGCGCCTTTCCATGAGCAAGGTGCCGTGGCCTCAGCTGAGGCAGTCTGAGCCGGCCTCCAGAAACTGAAGCCTCCAGAAAGTGAAGGCGCCGCAGTTGTTGTTTTGGTTAACGGCCCCCTCGCCGCCGCAATGACTCACCCGCACACGCACAGCACTGCACACACGCCAGACAACTGCTAAGCACACCTGTTCCATGCCAAACAACTCATAAACACACCCGCTCACAGACAACTGGATAGCACAACGGTTCACGCGCAAGCGCGCATTCTAGACAACTGGTGAGCACACGCGCTCACGCACACCCGCTCACAGCACTGCACACATGCCGGTGAGGACACGCGCTCACGCGCACCCGCTCAGCACTGCACACATGCCAGACAACTGGTAAGCACCAGCTCACAGCACTGCACACATGCCAAACAGCTGGTCAGCACACGCGCTCACGCGCACGCGCTCAGCAGAAATATACTCAGGTGATATCCCCAAAAGCATGCGGCGTTTTTCTTCGTACTCGCACTACCCCGCAGCCCTCGCAGAACCCTGGTGGAACCCTGGTGGAACCCTGGTGGAATCCTGGTGGAACCCTGGTGGAACCCTGGTGGAACCCTGGTGGAACCCTGGTGGAACCCTCGTGGAACCTTACCTCAGGCCCGCCCCGGACAACCTCGGAGCCTATCTGGGCTGACACCCCAAAGCTTTCAGCTGTTGGGGCAAAAGGCAGGTAACGCCCAGCTGCAATGAGCAATTGCTTTCCAAATAAAGATTTTTGTAGCAAAAGTTTTTTTAGTTGGATTTGGGTCCCAAATACTTGCTGGGTCCCGCGTTGTCAAAGGTGCCTTTAAAAAACAAACAAGGAGCCAGCCAGCCAGCCAGCTAACTAGTAAGCCACCTAGCCAGCCAGGGCAGCTTCCTTCCTTCCTCAACCAGGAGCTTTCTCTCCATCTTACAACTGAATCTGTTCTTTGAACAAACAAAGGGACAGCTGTGAGCTTTGTAAACATCTTTTCACTTTGCCAACTTCTGCTGGACATTGTCATCTTGCATCTTTTCTGGAGCTGGTGGAAAACTCACAACTCTGTTCCAGTCTAACTGGAATTGAGCTGCCACCTGCTGCAGAACGCCTGGATGCTTGGCAACTCAGTGGCAGCTTGGCCCCATGGAGGGCAAACTCTCCAGCAGCTGCTCATCTGTCAGATCCTGAATTGGTATCTCAAACCTTTACCCTTTCTGACTAACTATTTTGGCGCAGGCTCCCAAAGCCTAAGCAAAAGACACTGAACACCTAAACCAAAGCAAAGCTAACCGGTAGTTGAAACCAGCTAGCCAAAACTAAGACACTGGGTTGAACATCGCCCAAGCTTTGCCATCTTCGGTCGCCTCACTGCTCAGCACCTCTGCACACATCCTATCTTCAAAGACCGCTGTCTGCAGCTGGCCAACTGCAATCTTAGCCAAATCGGATGCAATGACATACAGAACAACAATGCGGCTCAAATTGCAGTAGCGCATCTGTTGGGGCAAGGACTCGGGTGGATAACTCTCCCACCGAAGGCGTGCGATCCAAAATCTGTACACTCTTGCCATCTGAACCAAAGTCTGCCAGCCCAAAAAACGTAGCTACCATCTATGCTCCAGGGAAACTAACCTTTCGGCCTACAATGTCGGGGACAACCTCCGCGGCGGCCTGGCACAGCTCTCCAATAGAGTCCCTCAGCGGCAGTGTAAACCTCTTTGATCTTCTCCTTGACCTCTGCGGGATGCGCCCGCTCAAACTTCTGAGCATGGGCAAGCTTGGCTCGCTTGGTGCCGTGCATCTTGGCACTCAAGACAGCCTTGGCCCCGTCGTAATTCCAAACAAAAACTCAACGCCGTGTCAGCGCTTGCCATCAGCGCTCCCCATCGACGCCGCTCCTTTCGAACGGGGTCCTGCACTTTGGGCGCTCCAAGTTGTCGTCCAAGCTGTCGTGGATCTTTGTTGGCAGCCTCCTCAGCAGCCTCGTCTTTGACGGCCTCAACATGCACAGGCCCTTTGCCCTCATCCATGTCAAGCCTAAACCACGCCACTTCCACCTCCAGGCCTAAGCGCTTCAGCCTCGATGCTTCCTTTGCAAGAAGAGCCTCCCGCATGGAAGCCGCTGCCTGAATTTCAGTCTCCTTGAAGCGCAGCTTCAAATCCCTCGCCGCCGAGAACAAGCCGCCGCTTTCCAAGAGCTTGTCAATCAATGCTCTTTCTTCACCCCCCCCCTTACCCCTTTGCGACCATCTGCTTGCTGAACATCACGGAAAGCTCTTCTTGGATCAGCCTTGTCTCATCTTGGCTCATGCTCAACGGAAGAGCGACAGGCTCCAACATAGCGCCGCTGCAACTAAGCTAAACTGCTTTTTCCAGCTGCAAATCTATTCTTTAGCTTGGTCTCGCTCCCGTCTAAAGACAGGGTTCAATCCTATCATCATCCTCTTGGGAACCATCTGGTAGACTTGAACCTATAGCTTGCAGCATGAGGTCCTGCCAAAAACAAACAAGCTCATCAACTTTAATTACTGGCTTAAACTCGATTGAAACTACTAGTGCTCAACAAAGCAACTGAAAAAACGTTTGCCAAAGACAGTCTTCACCTCCTTGACACCTGATGCGTTGTAAACTGACCTCTCCAGGAAGAGCTTCTCCATCTCATACAGTTTCTTCAAGAGCTCACAACTATTGCCGGTAGCTCCATTCCTCAGGCAGGCTGGTGTAATTACCTATTTCTAGACACCAAGCCAGCAACAACTCAACCCAGCAGTCCTAACCAAACTTTGCCAACTTTATTCAAGGATTCTCAGCAAAACTCTGACCTGTCCAGTCTACCTTGAGCTAAACAGCAACAGGCTCATTATGTCCATGCTTTCAACTTGCAACTAGCAATTCGCTGCGCCCAAGAAGCTGCTCTGCCATCTTGCTGCCAACTTCTCCAAGAACTCCCTGCACTCCAATAGGCAAAGACATGTGCCTCACCCAATCTTCCCAGGCAGATCTCATCTTGATCACAAGGTACATCTCACCTTTCCACCTCTGCCACCAAACCTCCCAAATTTGATGCCTCACCTTTCCACATAGCACCTACAGAGATTAATCTGAGCCAGCTTGTGCATGCATACATCCAACTCTCTTTCAAGCTCTTTCCCCCTCGCCCTCCCTATCTGCACCCCCCTCTCCATCTCTCTTTCTCTCTCCACCCCAGATGCCCCCTCCTCATCTGGACTGCCAGGGCTGTCATGCTGTGATACCTGAATTCTAAAACTGAGTGTGAATCACTTGACACCTTGCTGACTCCCTTCTTGAGGTTTCATGCCAACTCATGCAAATCTCGTGCAAAAACTGCTGCCAATCTCATGCCACATGCTTGCAAAGCTCTTGAAATCTGTAGCTGTTGCAAAACATGTGCCGCTTGTTCTAGGCTGTTCCGCATGCAATCTCATGCGAAATTCCTGCAATCTGGTTGGACAACCTGTTAATCTTCTGGTGCTGCTGCTAAAACTGTCATGCTTCTCCTGCTTGCAAATCTCATGCACAATCTCGTGCCAGGTGCTTGTCTTCACACTTGTTGCAGTTGTTGCAAAATCCGATCTGTTCAAAGCTGTTCTGCCTGCACATCTCATGCAAAACTCCTGTAAAATAGATTAAAACATCTTGCAGCATGCTGGTGCTGCTGCTAAAACTGTCATGCTTCAAGCTGTTCACCTGCAAATCTGCCGCAAAGCTTCTGCCCATCTCAGGCCACATACTTGCAAAAACCTTCCACTATTCCAAAAACTGCTTTGTTCAAGGCTGTTCTGCATGTAAATCTCACGGGAAAGTCCTGCAACCTGGATGGAACAACCTGCTGGTGCTGTTGCTAAAAATGTCATGCTTCAAGCTGTCCCGCATGCAAATCTTATGCAAAACTCGTGCAAAACTCTTTCACAACGCCAGCTGCTTGCAAAACTGCAAACCTCACGCCAACGCAATCCCAAACTGCGGCGAAACTGCACCAATCTGAGAACGTACCTATACCTGCCAGCCTTCACCTCCATGCCATCTCAGTCTGACTTGTGTTGTAAGCTCCTTCTTGGACAGCTCTGCCTGCTTTGCCAGCTATGTCAGCTGTCTACCAGCTAGACCAAATTGCCTACTGCCATGTGCCTATGGCTATCTGTCTGTGCCAGATCATCTTTCTTCAGTCCTTCATCTTCAATAGCAGCTTCAGCTTCCATGTGTTTCTTCTTTTGCCTTGTCTTTGTCTGCCTCGAGCCCTGGAAACAACTTTTCAAATCTGATCCTGCAGGCAAAACTCAACCAGCATCGGGGCTGAACGTTGCACACAAGTTTCCCTAACTGCAACTGCAATGCTCATGCTACCTTCTGATCTCCATGCCCAGCTTCCCTCAACTGCTTTCGTCCCAGGCAACCTGACCAGCCAGACCAGCCAAAGCAGCCAAGCCAATTCCAAAATTGAATTTGTAATACTAAAATCAACTACAAAGACACTCCAACTCCAAATTTGCAGTTGCAATACTAAAGTCAATTACAAAAGCTCCACAGAAAGCGCAGTTCTAATCTAGTATTCCCCAGACTTAGTATAGTATTGGTATACTGTTCCAACTTTGTTTGAGGGACCTCAGTTGTTTGGGGGGGTTATTAATCAGAGGTGGACAAATCGGTGTTTTGTTGAGGCGAAATGAGCTTAGAGTCTTCTCAACTGGCAGCTAGGCGGTGAGACCTTGCAATCTAGCGACTGAATAACCACTTCCATGCCGAGCAGATCATTGACCCGTCGGCCTGCCAGGAAGTTTGTCTCTGAATGTCTCTCTAGATCATGAAGCAAGGTCAGCCATGCAGGCCCATCTACACATATCGACATGTGGCTACAGCTGAGTGTGAAGGCGTATTGTTTCTCGGTGTGTCAACGCCATGTCTGCGAGACACGCGCGTGCCTTCAAGAAGCTTCTTCATCAAGCTTTGCGGTGACTTCACCCTGCTGCTCACCTGGGCTACTACGGTTCAGACGGCTGTTCTTGAATGCATTAGATTGCGTTTAACATCTCAACGAGATGCTTTGCAGCTTTCGCCGATGACAACAGGGTACAAGCAATTTTGCCTGGGCAATTCTTTGAAAGGACTTGCTGGCCCCACTTGGGGCTCGACTTAGACTTGCAGGAAAGCGTTTGTCAGCCAAGCATGTCGGATGATTGTCACGAAGAAGCCACTGAAACCAGTCGCTGCTACCAGCCAGGCGCTTCAATCCAGTCGTTTTTAGCGCGCAGTGCGTGGCAACTTGGCTGCCGTGCCTTGTAGCCAGACGCCAGGGATTGAAACGAGCGATCGTTGCCCAAGGCCGTGTTCACCACCTGCCGGCTGGAAGATCTCTCACCCGCGAACTCATTGCGCAGTGCCCTCCGAGAGACAGGGATCTGTGTTTGGTCACTCGTTTTGAAGGGGCTTGCTCTGGCTCGGCTATTCTTACCAGGCTTCAGGAAAGGCCCTCAGGGTGCGCGGCCAAGTCGGCTGAAGAGACTCTCTAAGATCTACAGAACTTGCCATAATGAATCATGGCAGAACACATGAATAAACCATGCACAAAGCACACAGTCATTTCACAGGAAAGCCAGGAGCAACTCAGCGAGACAAAATAGGTTCACATCCTGACAAACATGATTGTTTTGTCAACAAGGGCAAGCCATGTTGATCAATCTGTTGAACAGCACTTTGTTGGAACTCCGGAGTTGACAAGCCGTAGGAAAGCCATAGAACGGCGGACACTTTTTGCCAAAGAACGAACACTCGGCACTCGTTGGGTGCACCTTTTTGGGTTATTCGTTGCACCATGTGTTGTGGATCTGGCTTGCAGCCGTTGTTTCGCACTTGTTCTGGCTCATGTGAAGCCCACATTGCACCATCAACTGCTAGTGCAAAACAACACAGTTTAGACGGACATGAGCCCAACATGCTTGCATCAAGCAGCAGCAGCCCTGCTGACACAATGGTTGCGATGGTATGCGAAGCATGCCGCATAAAAGTGTCTTGCTCAGACAACTAATTGTAGTTGCCAATGTCAAGTGAGAATGATGAAATGATCACCCTTCCCAAACCATCCAAAACAAGCCTTTCTCTTGAAACTTGCTTTGCCTGACCATTCAATCAATCGATGCACTTTGGAAGTCTAGAGGCACCGAAGCAGCAAAAGTCCCCAGAACCGACCATGCAAAAGCTGCAGAGTTCTGTGATCAATCTGAGTCCTGAGCGTCACCTATGCAGAGCCGACGTGCGCAATCAAACTAGGCACGCCAGCAAAGCCACCATCGCCTTGCCTCCTTGCCTCATGACCAAGTGCTAGCAAATGAATCTGTCGCTGCTTCTCCCGACATCATACCAGGTTTACTGAAACTAAGCATCCAAGCATCACCTACTGCGGAAGGGTGCGCAAGCAGCCAGCACATGTCCGCGACCGCTTGAGCCCCTAATCTGACCAAAGTGTGCCGGAAGAAAAGCCCTTCGTCTGAGCCAGTACCCTGAGCTGCTTTCCAAATAGAAGCTGATCCTTTTTGCCCCTTGCGCCCCCACACGAATGCCGTGCTCCAGAATGTCTTCCAGCAAGTCGAACCTCACGACTCACGGCTCACCCTTTTTGGCTCCCAAACGCGAACGCGCAGGCTGCTCAAGAAGCCATTGGCAACAATTGTGAAAATCGTGTAGAGTAGACCGTTCCAATTTCTGGCCGTTTCTGAAAAGCCGGTGGGACCTTCGCCTAAGATGGTGGCACCTTGAGGCCCTGTGCTTGGAGGTTCGGCGGCTGGGCGACGATGGTTGAGGAATGACCCGTTTTCCGTTTCGTCAAGGGGAAGCTGCGCTCCAACTTGGGATGGGCGCTGCTTGTGGAGCCACCGCTGCAAGATATCAAAAGTGAATGTTACAGCTGCTTCTTGGAAAAAAAAACACAGGAACGTCATGAGTCCACAAAATACAGCCAAACCGATTTCCAGATTTACAGGGCCACAAACACAGCAACCACGAAGACCACGAAAAGTGGAGCTGTGAAACGGGTCAAATTCGGGGAAGGGGCAACGATTTGAAACTGCTCGATTTCGGCCGCAACTCATTTTTTTGTTCCACGTCCCGCGCCTCAATTGTCTTAAGAAAGGGGGATGTCGTGCTACCAAGTGCCACGCCTGCCACCAGGCCCCTCAAACTCTGCAGCATGACTTGCGCTATAGCAACATTTGCACGAGGGATCCCCGACGAAACGTTCAAGGGTGACGCTGCATCTTGCAGCCCAAAGGCTCCCGATCAAACCAGTCCACCACCATGCGGTACTCCGAGGGGTAGAGCAGCTGAAGGCCAAAGTGCTCCAAGGTGGCCGGCAGCGTGTCGCAGTGCGGCAGAGGCAGGAAGCTAGCCTCAAAACGTCTGTTCTGGTCACAGGCATTCGGCGATGGTCTTTGTGCACCCGGCTTTCAGGGGCCCGGAGGCTGCCACTTTATTCTCTGATCTGAATGGCTGGTGCGGAAGCCCCGCTACTGATTGGGGCTCATTCTCAAGGAAGGGCACCCACTGCGTGCATTCCTGAACCACAACTTCACCTCCCTTGGAGTTTTTGCTCATTCGGGGGCAAGGTAGTGGGGCGGGGCGTTAAACGTTCGCTGATTCGTCGGCTTTTGTCACCCAACTGCGCACACCAACTGACGCAAACAGGCTCTCGCCAAATGTGGTGGTTGCTTCTGGTAGCGAACTCATCCCTAGCTTACGTGCTTCCCTTGCGGATATGGCATGCTCCTGTGCCTGATGGTTTGATTTGCTTGCAGCTGCTCTGGGATGTGAAACTTTACGCATTAGAGGCCGAACTAGATCTTCAAGTCCGAGCTTCGTTTCTGGTTTCAGTGGTCATTGCTCATAGGCCCTTGCTCCAGCTTGCAAAGTGCTTGGGAGTAGCAGGGGAGCTATGTTGTTTGCAGCTGCACGTACACTTTGGCCAGTGCCTTGAATGAAGCTGATCGAATACATGTATGCCCTTGCTTGGAGATGTAACTTGCCTGAGTCTGCTGACATACCTGCTGAAATTGCAAAGATTGCCTGATGTAGCTTCTAACTACGTTTTGCGAGCAAGACTCAAAGGTCAATGCTGGCTGCTTGTTGCTGCTTTCTTGGTGGTTACTGGTTGGTGCCCCAAACAAACCCAACAAGCATCAACTCGCTCAGAAGCTGCTGAAAAGTCCATGGGGCGAAATTAGAAATGATTGCATTGCTTGCTTGAGGGGCCTGAGTCCAGAGGGTCCGAGGCTGTCTTGCCCAACGCAGCTCATCCTTTCGATTCGATCAAATACGAGGTCGTCATTTCTCAGGTGCTGAATTGCCTTTAGCCACGGACCTGCATGCATGGCGCCTTTATCTTCCCTTCTTTTTGTTGGCATGCGTGGCCAAAAAGCTCCAGAACTAGGTGCTTGTTGCCACACAAGCGCCCAGGCAAGCAAAAGTCTTCGCTCAAAGCTCATGCGCCACGCCACCCCGTCCGGGTACTCGTAGCCCAGCGCCCGAGCGATGGGCGCGTGGAACTCCAAAGTAGTCCTAACGCCGCGTTGCTCACATGGGCATGTCAAAACAGGTCCGTTACCAAATGAAATGGGGTGTTTCCTTCGGCTTCCCCTTAGCCTTTAACCACCAACAAGAAAAAGTGTCCACAATTTTGAGAAACCCCCACAATCCCACACAATTGTGCGATGGAAGAACCTGCTCCAAGGCTTGAACTTGAAGAACGCTTAAGTTGTCAATTCCTGTTGGCATTAGTGGCTGGGCCAATGAAACCTCAACATACTATACCTTCCACCCAACTCTACCCACTGCAGGCACTGGGAAAGTCAATGCCCGGCCGCCTAAATCCCAACGCGATTCTTCCGAAAACAACACATGCGCCTCAAGCAACGATGCATCCCAATGGCATGGTGAATGCCGACAGATGCAGAGGCCATCTCTTTAACATTCATGTATATATGATGCTGGACATGTGTATACATATATATATATATATGTCCAGCATCCTTGAGTAGGTCTCGATCGTCTTACTCGGCATCGTGGTATGATCGTTGTTGGGGCCCTTTGATGGACATCAGGATGCATGTCCACCAACTGGTTGCGGCTCTGGCCGATAGAATGCATAGCCATCTACCCTCCCAGAAACATGGAATCTGACTGCGGGCCTTTGGACCATGTTGGTCATTTTGGGAGGCCATCGGTTCCTTTAGAGGCCTCCCAAATTCCTGCAGCACGAGGAATCGGATCCTCCAAATCAGCCCTCACCCCTCCAAACCCTCACCCCAAAAGGAAACTCCCTCCAAGTCGGCCCCGGCGCTGATGTGTAGGCATAGGGAACCTGCCTCAACAGCGACTTGCCCCGGCCCGATCCCACAGCTGCCATCAGACCCAACGGCCCCCTCCTGGCCAAAGGCCTGGCCCCATGCTGGGCCGAGAGCTCGGCCATCAGAAGCGCGCGGCTCGCCCTCGGCCGGGCGCGCTAGGCGAGGGGGGGGGGGCCGACATGGCCTCGGGGGTCCCGTTGGGTTTCCCTAACCAACCGAAAGAAGGGCCTTCCTCAAAGAAGGCGCACCCCCAAAAGTTTGAGATGTCTCTCAGCATGGATGGTGATAAAATCCACGCCGCTCGGCATGAGCTGGTGAGCAATGTCAGCAAGTATTTGTTCATAAGGGTTCATCCATCCCAACTGGTGCAAAATGCATTTTGTCCATCCACATTAGGGGAATGCCAGAATGGTTTGTTTCCTTTTGGTTTCCCTTTAAAGCCATAAAAATATCGGTCCACCATTTGAAAAACACCCACATGAGAACACGTGGGGTTGCGCCAGTTCTGCTCTGCAGCGGGAGTGAGGGAGTTTGGGGTCTCTTGGTCTCGGAACGCCACGGCCACTAGGGTGAGCTCAAAATAGACAAAATGCCCAGAGAAGAAGCCCCCCTCGGCCCATGGCAAACGCAACGCCTGCACTTCCAAGCGTCAATTCCAAGAGCACCGGTCTGCTGTCTCGACCTCGGTGTGTGTGTGTCCATGCTCTTCAGGATCTTTGGCTTCAGAATTGTATAAATCGGCATCATCTTTTTGTCAATGTGGCAAACGCAAGGCTCCTCGTAATGACGGGCTTCCTCTTTGTCATCGGCACATCGGCACTCACCCAGTGCACAAGGGGCAGTCAAATTGACCTATGCCCACATCCCATTGTTCAAGCAACAATCATCAAGTACGCTTCACTTCCTACAAATGCGGGGTGGCTGCCAAGGAAACAAGAAATGGACTTGGGGTCGTCGGACGGAATGCCTTTCTGGATCGGGTCCCCTCCTTGATTGGCATCCTTTGATATCAGGGCCTCATCTTTGACACACAGCGACACAAACAGTGGGAGACACCTTGCCAAAGGCAAAGGTGCGACGCTCAATCTACAACCTGCACGCCCCTAGCCACATAAGCGCTTGCTTGACCACCACACCAACCAGCCCTGTCACCGGAGAACGGAGGCACCAGGCGGTTTGAGTCCGGGCCGCAGCTCTGGAGGAAGAGCTGGCGGCACAGCTGCGTGCTGGCTGGCCAGGTGTCCAGGGCTTCACAACCTCCTAAAGCGTCACCAGGTCATCAAGTCCAAGAGATAAGAGAGCTCGGTTTCTGACCCAGTTGCATTTGTGTGATCCTGCTTGCAGAGAGGCAAAAAGACGTTAAAGTAACCTGCCACTGCTTCAGAACGGTTGTAAGGAGAGGCTAGCCCCTGCACGCGTGCGGTCCTTCAGGGTCTGCAGCTGCAGAATCGTCAAACAGCGCCACCAGCTCGCCCACGGCCTGAACTGGAGCTGAATGGAGCAAGTGGCCATCTCCAACTTAGCTATGTTTAACGTTGGAAACACGGCGGCGGATGCTGCCCACGGTGCGAGGATGGTGCCCACGGTATTGGCAAAACCTTCCTGTAAGGCCACATGGGCCTTGGCATGGAGCTCAGGCCTATGAGCTTTGAGGGTTGAAGCGCTGGCAAAGCTGCAGCGCGCCTAAAAGCAACAAATATCGCCCATGACGCGTCATCCAGCTCTAAAAAGAATAGGACGTGGTGATAGGGTCAGCATGCGTCAATTGAAACAGCCAAGCGTAGGAGCGTGACCCCGATTTGGCGATCACGACTTGCAGACGGAAAATGATCATGCTCGAAGCCACCCCAGGAATCAAGAACCTCAAGGAAGACCTTGCGAAAAGGCCCCTGCCCCGTTGAATCAGTGGCGACAACCCGACATCCACCCAAAGCAAACGCTTTTGCGTGTACTGTGTCGCTCCGCCTCTTGCCTCAGAGTTCTCAGTTTGTGTCTTGCTTCAAAGCCAAGCCTTGCGTTCCTGCAAGAGCTCCGCCACTTCTGCGCCCAAACGCCCTGCGCTCTCGAGCGTCTGCCGCTCCTTGGGCAGAGGGGAGTGCGGCCTTCAAGCTTCCATTTGGCGTATCTGAGCAACTTCATGTGGGTGTCAAAATGGGGACTCCCAAAATGCTTGGTTTCCTTTTGGGTTCCCTTTCCAAAGAATGAGCCCAGGTGCTACCTCCAACAGCACGGCCTGCAACGGAACCAAACGACTTTGAACCCATCGGAACCCAGCGCAACAAATGCTCCATGCCACCTAGAAACCTTCCGGAACTTTCCGGAACCCTATCTCGGAGCTGCTCCGGACCGCTCCGGCGCTACTCTTATAGCTTGCGGCTGGGGAAAAAGCTACCCTCGATAAACGCATGTATTCCAAGTACTGTCGGCTTCGTTGCGCCGCCATGTGCTCCATGGCGTGGCCTTGGGGGGCCAAAAAATTAACCCTCCCCTCCCGCCCCCTCCCGCCCCCTCCCGTCACCCCCCCCCGTTTCACTTCTGCCCCGGCAAGACACCCAGGAAGCGCCCAGCTCCAGCTCCGCATCCAAGAGAAGCGCAGCGACTAGGGAGCTGCAGTCTGCGCCCAGGCGTGCCAAGGTCAGCAACAGCGCTGCCTGATCGTTCCAGCCCCTCCCCCAACCATTCACTAAACCGTCATGGGGTTGCGTGGGGTTGCCCCCGGATTTTTTCACGAGCTGGCGAAGGCGTTATTTTGTAACCCCACTCGGAGCCCATCCAATGGCAACATTGGTGAGAGGGCCCGTGTCACTTCCTTTATGCCGGCGGCCAGCAAATCGCTCTGAATTGATAGCAGCTAAGGGCTCTCATGCATATATTCCTTCTAACAGGGCATCAATCGAATTCACAATTCGAAAATCATGTAGGCCATGTGCATGCCGGCTTTGAGCACATGCAACATGTCCATCTCACCGTCTTTGACAGGGACCCGCACATTTGACCTCCTAAGCATCGTGATGGCCAAGCCTCTGCCGCGTTGGCTCTCGTGATGTTCGAAACGGCTCATTCGAAACGGGGCATCGCACCACTGGAATGCCAGCACCAGGGCTCACGTGCTTCCTTTTCACCCTTACGTTTTGTTTCCCACCCTCGAGTACTCTAGACTTCCCTGAGCTGAATGATGGAAGCTGAAACTCAGGTGCCCAAAAAGCCCACACATGCCAGGTGGCAGGCTACAGCTTCACCTCCGTTGTATAACCCCGTGGGGCCATGACCCCCCAAAAAAACGGGGGGAAAAAAGAAAAACACACCAAAATAAGAGGAACTAAACGGCCCAAAGTTAGCAAAGGCGGTCACCGCCGAAGTGACGCCTTGGCTCCCGACTCGCCTTCCGCTTCCAGAACTTGGCCGTGGCCTCCGGCAGGCAGGCCAGGGACACCACCATGGACCGCACGAAGCGCCGGTCCTGCGGCGTCGAAATGCACCGAAAAGGACAAACAAATGCTGGTGTTCCTGTGGGTTTCCCTTGAGAACCACCAACAAAAGTAGCCTCAGAACAAAAAAGAAAAGCACACACACACACACACCCTGGGCCCTCAAAACGTTGGAAGTGGCGCCGAAAGCCTTGGGCTGACATATCCCAAGACCCCGGAATCTGGAATACTTTGCTCCAACTTGGGCACAAACCATACGTATCAATGCGACGTCAGAGTGCAAGGCCTTTGGATCAAGTTGCTGGCAATCAATTGAGTAGTGTTAGCAATTCATTGATTTCTTCAAGGCCCTCGATTCGCAGGATCTAGCCAACTCATCCTTGGAAAAAAAAAAGTCAGTGCCCACTTGCCGCGCACCTCCTCAATGGTGAGGAACTTCTTCAGCAAATTCCAGGCAACCTCTGCTTGCTCAGGCACGCCGGAAGAGACGACCTGGGCATTCCGCAAGCCAAGACTCTCACCCCGCTCGCACTCCAGATCCGTTCCTACAAGCCCTGCCTCCCGCCCCCTTTCGTTTTCCAGCCTATAGGCCACCGTGGACCACAAGTTAAGTTAAATCTGCTGCAAATAAAAGTTCTCGACTGCAGAAACCTGCAAAATCCTGCCAAATCCGTATTGTGGCAAGTATGATGCAGCTTGCCGTGAAATGCAGAAACTTTGAACACTCCATTGGTCCGTGCTAGGTGAAGCCAATGCCTTGATCCCCTGTACGCCCACCCAAAAAATCAGCAGTGCAAATCTCCGGCCTCTTTGAGTCCAGCTGTGCTGTACATTCCCTTCTGCATCCAGACTTCCGTGCTCTTCCGATGTTCTAGTCAATTCTCCAAAACCTTCAAGCAGCTTCCAGAAGCAAACCAAGTCCATACGCCATAGCCAGCCGGCCGAGCGGCGAGTCCAGCTTTTGCTCGCCCCGTGAGCGGGGATGCGAAGCCCAACTGGCACGGGCACCCCGAAGCGAGCCCTCCCGCTCTACCGCTCTGATGTGGCCGTGGCCCTGAGACTTCCCACTTAAGGTCGCCAGTCAGAGCTCGGCATGCCGGCGCACAAGTGAAGGCCCCATGGCACTCGGCCTCAAAACAGTTTGAGCTTGAGGGCCTGATCAAGCTTGTGCAACTCAGATGGCAAGAAATGATGCCTTTGTTGGAAAGCACCCTGATCAGCAAAACGTCCAGAACAGGACGAACACATGAGACAAAGCCCAATATGGCGCACATGGGTTCACAACTTGTCGCTTTGATCATATCCCCAAGCCCTTCAAGGGCCTAATGACCCAGGGTTCCCATCAACGTCATGCTTGGGTCCACTTGCCGCTTTAGGAAGTATGATTTGTTTGAATCAGGTAGAAACCCTGTCTTTCTGTCCTGGGCAAGGCCAACAGCGACATAGTGCTGGCTCTTTGGCCTCCAGCTGCTGGCTCTGGATGCTCTGAATGATGCCGTCCTCCAGGTCGTCCTTCTGGGGCGACCTCATTGCAGCCGTCCAGTCGCGGCTGGGGAACGGAAGTCGTCATATGGCCCTTGCACCTGTTTGGCCACATCCAAGGCCGCTGACTTTCTGGAGCCAAGCATCCAAGGCTCTTCCTTCTCCTTCTCTTCGAGCAACGCGCCGCGCACGCCGTGCAAGCCCAACCTCCCGGCTTGAGAGGGGGCGACAATTTGAGCAAATCACCCGGTTGTTGGATGGGCCTACGTGTGTAGTGGGCCCTGCACACCTGTTCTCACAAGCCTGGGGCAAGCAACTGCCAAGTGAAAGCAAAGGCGGCTGAGCTGCCGTGGACGCACAGAGCCGGAAGGCAGCACATGCTACTGACGGCCATGCTTGGAACAAGCGGCCACCTTCCGCGCCCAAGGCAAATGCGGCTAGGTCCAGCAGCTGAAGGGGTCAACCACCTGTTTCAACATGTAAAGGACCCCCGGCCCCCAGCCGCCAGTACAGGCTCATTGAGGATGGTCCATCCCAAACCTTATGCTGGGCGGCTTTGACCAACCGTTGTATTTTTGTTGGTGGGGCTTCCATGGAAAGCTTCTGACACACCTCATGCAACACAACGAGGAGGGGCTTGCAGGACAAAATGCCGCCATGCCTGGAAGTGCTTGCATCTTCCATCTTCCCTCTCCAAGTGATCGAAAACGGCTTAGCCTTACGCGCTAGACGCCGACCAAACAAATGACAGGAGGGCACATACTATGTGTTCTCCTGCCTCTTGGTGTTGGATAAACGGTCCCCCTTCAGTGCGCGCCTGAGCTCCTCGATGGTGGGGATGAGGCTTGGGATCTCGTTCCCACTTTTCCGCTTCCTCGGGGCACATTGGCCTTGGCCGACGCTGGTTCCCAGGATGCACGCTTCGCACCAAGCTGTTGAGCGCCGTTTGGACAGGGCCAACTGGGTCTCCGAGAAGGGCCACCCACCCATTGATACCACCAGTCTGGCTTGGAGCCGGTCTCCCCTTGCCAATGCAAGGACAAACCTGAATGTGCCCAAGCGGCTCCCAACCTCCGCCAGCAACGCGAGGGCCACAATCAAGACTTCCCATAGAAGAACGCTAACCTCAGGTCCAATCTCAGCAATCTAATCTTCTTGCCCGAGAGGCCTCCAACAATTCGCTCTTATTCCAAATCTTGAATGAAATGGCCAACTAGCTGAATCATGCACTGCACAGCTTTGTGGGTCTTTCGGACGTGCATGTGCAGAACTGCTAGGGGAGTCAAGTGCAAAGGCACGTACCTCAGGCCGCAGCTGCTACTGCCACCCATCTGTCTGGTTCTGCTCTCCGATGCAGCCGGCTCAAATGCCTTCTCAGGGATCAATGCTCTCAAGCCCTGAGCACCTCGTTTCTGCCTCCCAGCTTGGCTACCTCACACAAAAACATTGTGTATAAACAATAGGGTCTGACATGATGCGGGCACCCTTGGTTGGACCAGCGCCCGCAAACAGCAGTGCGCCAAGTGCGACAGCGCAAGCCGCGCAACAAGTTTCAACCACCTTTCCATGCAGCAATGCTCTTGCAAATACGTGTTTCTTCCTAGGTCCTAGCTGTTCAGCAGTTGAAAAAGATCGACATGCGAAGCAGCCATCGCACGTGCCAAGAACCATTCATTCAAGATCCGGCCGATCTTGTACTATTCAGCTAGTTGTCCAGCTGCATTCCATGTCTTGTCTTGTAGTTGGTAGTGTGGCAACCGCCCTCGTCGTGCTGCAACATGTGCTGCTCGAGGCGGGGCTCGTGATGGTCTTGGTGCACTTCAATTTGCTTGGCTGCGGCGTTTTGTTTTGGTAGTTTTGAAGGGACGTGGCGATTTGTCAGGACACTGAATGCCAGGACACTGAATGCCAGGACACTGAATGCCAGGACAAGCCAATGGTTGCAAATGGGTGGAGGGCGTCGCTGGCTGAACATGAGTGCTCGGCCAACATTGAAATCGCGTTGTCGAAAGGCGATGCTGATTCTGAACACTTCAATCTCACGAGCCAATTGGCAAACCCTGAAACCACGACAACCCAGCCCAGCCTGGAAATTGCCAGGTATTTGATCCTTTTCAAGCCATTGTGCATTGACTAGGACATGTGATCTGTCAACGAAACCTGGTGACCATCGCCAGACCGGCCTGGTAAAACTTCAGCAACATTGATCCATGACCGCGCTTCGCCACCCAAAGAACCAGGCCAATCAGCAGAATGTTAACCCAGGATAAATGAGCCCCTGGTTTATTAATAGGGGGGGTGTCCCCTTTTAGTGGGGATTCATCACTTTTGGAGGGAACACCCCGCAAGAATGGGAAGGGTTTATTGATCCTGGGCCAACATTGATCCAAGAATCCAAACAGAACCTCGTGACATCGATATCCCGCGCCGGGCCTGCACCTGGAGCTCTTCCGTGGCGCAAGGATTGGCGCTGAGGGCGGCCCTTTCGCGTAGATAACGGCCGATGCAGCCGCGCACGCTCGCACGCGTCTTCACAAAACAATGTCAAACAAGCATGTAAAACACAAAATGCTGGTGCTCACCGGAGGAAAGGTGGCAAAACTTGCATCCGTTGACTGAGAAGCATAGCAAGCTGGAATAGCTTCACACAAAACCTCTGCAAACTGGGTGCTGCTGACTTGCGCAAAGAGGATGGCCGATGTGATTTCAAGAGCTGCCCTGACATCAAAAGATTTGCCTTGACTTGGAGCGCATTTTGCCCGTAACTGGCTCAAGCAGAGGAAATGCCCCGCAACGATGCGCCAGCAACTAGCAAAGCCTGACAAGAGTTCAGAATAAAGTAGGAGAACATATTTCTGACATTTTTCAACGGATATGAAAGGGGGAATGCGCCAAGGCAAGGTCTGCGGATGCTTGTTGAAACCTGATGCGTTGCCCTAAAAGCGTTGCTGGCCCAACAACAAACACCCAGGAATCTCTGCCAAGCTGCGGCAGGCAGCGCGCCACGCAGCACGAGGAGCCAGCATAGGCTCATGGCTGGGCTGTGGAGGGCTGGGTTGCCAGGGCTGTGCCTGCGCATTTTGTTGGCTTAGCGCCGTCGGCCCAATGGATGGGATTGAAGTCTGGGCCTGATAGGCGGGGCTTCACTGGCCAAAACATGCGGCTATAGCTCTAAGTCACTCAGAAAGCATCATGTCTGAATCGCATTTGTGAGACCGGAAATGCAGCGTAAGTAGCGACAAGAGCTACAAGCTGCGGACCTGCCTGCATGCAAGGAGACAAGCTAACAAATCCGGCAGCCCACAAGCCGTGCACAGGAAGCAAGCACCAGCGTGACGCTGCTATATAAGCCTCCCCTGTTAATAAATATGTTTCCAGACCCTTTACTACATTGAAAGCAAACAATACCAAACCAGTTCTAAACTAACGAACGAATTTCCCGCCGACAGCAACTACAAACGTCCTAGGCTCTCCAAAACAATCCGAATCTTGATTGTACATTCATATCTTAAAGTGCACTTTAGATACTCCTCTCAGTTCTAAAGCCCAAAAATGGCCTGAGCATCCCTGTTCCTTGCTGAGAAAATTGCAGTTTTGGCGGCTTTGGTGCCTGCCTGAAAAGTGGGCCAAACAACAGTAGCTTTGGCAGGCAAACATCCTGTGGACGTCGTGTGGCGTGGCGCGGCAAGTTGCCGGTCAACAGATCGGGCCACAAAGCAACAAACGTGACACACACACACAAACACACACACACACACACACACACACACACACACACACACACACACACACACACACACACCCGCACACCCGCACACCCGCACGCACGCACATGCCGCACGCACGCACGCACGCACGCACGCACGCACGCACGCACGCACGCACGCACGCACGCACGCACGCACGCACGCACGCACGCACGCACGCACGCACGCACGCACCCACACACACACACACACACACACACCACGCCACACAACCAACAAAGTGCAAGGAAAAACACAGGGAACAACAAACAACGCGCAACTGCCACGCGCCACAAACAACACGCAACAATATCAGCAAGCAACATGCAGGGTCAACTGGAGGGGGGTTGTTCGAATGACGACTTTGTCAAGCGATGGACCGGAGAAGAAACCCCGGGACACCCCTGGACTGCACTGGCGAAAATAGGCTCGTCTTTCTCTTTGGGGTGTCTGGATTTTTGCTAGGCGGGATAAACCAAGTGGAACAAAAGCCTGTGCCCGGCGCGCGCACCACTTGTTGACAGCCGAGAAGTCCGAGGCTGCAAAGGGCTCAGAAGCGCAACTTCTTGCGCAAGTACAGGACATCCTGTAAGGCAAACGCCCCCATATCCCCAAGGAGGCCAATGGATGGTGCACAGGTGTGACCCACTGCTTTCCTCTGCTCTGGCTTTCCAAGTTGCAGAAACCATCGGAACACAACCAGGCTTTTCATTTCCCAGGTTTCCGGCTGCCTCGCTACGGGAAACCGTGCGATGATCAGAGTATGGCTCTGCGCTTCCAGACCTTTGGAGAGAGGCCGGGTGGGGAATCCTGGAGCACATCTACATGACCATGGTGATCTTTGCTCCTGCTTTGCCAAACCAACACCCCCCAAGTACCAGCAAAGCGCTGCTTTGTCGATGAGCCAAGTGGGCAAACATTCGCCACCTCCAAGCATACCCTTCGCAATGACCACGAGGCACACTGAAACGAAGCCCTCAACCAACTTGCATGCCCTTGCCCAATTGGAGGCTTGGGCCCTCCATCATCCTTCTTGGGAGGCCACAAGGGGGCAGTCACTATTCAAAAGGAAAAACGGAAAAGCTTCATTGCTGACGGCTGCCAGCACCCCTGACCCCGGCCAAGCTGGCCCCGCATCGCTCAGCCCGCGCCTTCGAGGGCCGGCCGGCCTTGTCCGGGGGTGGCGCCGCAAACTTCTCCTGGAGGAGGCCTAAGCCGTGCCGACTCAAAGCGTTGGCCTCGTGCAAAGCCGGGGCCGAATGTCGACACTGGGCTCAGACCGAACGGGACAAACACGAACCGACAAATTGTGCACGGGAGGGTGGGAACTGCAGTCTCTTTCGATTCTCCTTCCCTCCATGCAGGGTGTTGTGGGGGTGTCTTCGTCAGAAGCAAAGCTTCAGCAAAATCTGCGTGCAGGTTCAGAGTGCTGCGTCTGATTTCACCCCCAAAGGCTTGGAAGTTCAACCAGCAGTCCCTAGAAAATGCCTCTTTCAGTACAATGTGCTTTTCCGCCTTCATTCGGTTCACATGCAATTCCCTGTGTTTGCTGTGCCTTTCTGTGAGCCCGCAATCGCAACGGTCCACCCGGACGCATCCGCGCTGAAATGCAGCCCAAGCGGCTCTTTGCGAACTTGCGAGCCTCCTTTCGTCCATCCGGCGTGTCCATCCTCAAGAGCCGACGGCAACTGGGCCCACAACGCAGGCCGCAATTCCACATCAACTGATGAAAGGCTAGACAACCAGATGGCAAAGCAAGCGCTCACCAACAAAAGACCAACAAAAGCCTGCCAAATGCAGCTGAAGGGTAGTTTGTTGTTTCAAGCAGCTTGCTCTGGTTCCAAGCCACCCTTAGGGCTCCTGGAACATTGATTTCCTCTTGAAGGGACTTGTCGGCTGCCATTTTTTGTGAGAGGGAGGGTGTGGATTCTTTCGAGCCTTGTCAGGGAAGAACCCCACCCCTTGTTGTCCTTTGCTGGCCGCGTTGTGCCACCTAAGGCAATTCCAAAGCTCGACCATCACAGGCAGAGGGTTCATGCAAACCAGGCATATGCCAATCAACACTCAAATCCTCTCAACTGGATTCATAGGATGGTCCGTGCTTTGTTTGAGCCCGGGGGGTTGGCGAGCAAATCGGTGCCCGTGAGCTTATGGAATGATAAGTTGAGAACTGAGACGTTTGATTGGCATTATGCAAGTAGCCTGTGACTGGCCAAGTTCGCGCAACAAAACACGCATATGAACAAATGGATGGCGCCTCTGCCAGCTGCCCTATCTGCAACAGTTACACTGCGACTTCTGCAACTCATGTCGGACGGTGTGAGGAATGGCCTGAAGTAGTATGCTGACGAGGTCGCTTTCATACCTACAGCGGTGTTCCCCTTGCCACCCCGCCGAGCATCTGCTGGTCCGTGGCAATGGAGGCAGGGGACAGCTCACTCGGCACCTGAGCCCCATGAAGAAAGTGATGTTGCAGGAAGGCGCTGGCAAGGCCCCCTGCAATTAATCCCAGACCCAACTTCGAGCAATTGAGCAAATCATCCAGTTCAATCGGAACGCTACGCGTTGCTTTCACAAGCCCTGGAAGCATCCCATCGCAACTTGGCGTCCTTGGATTTGGCCATCTACTTTGGGACCTGTGAAGGAGATGACCACGACCCTGCCATACAAAGGCATGTTAAAATACTACTGCTTATTGGCTAGTTGCTTCAAGCTCGCCCTGAGCCAAGGCCATAGCCAGTGCATCGCCATGTCACCACACTTCCATGCCAGTGGTGAAGTCGAAAGTACTGGAATCCGGCATGCCCCAAGTTGCCAATCGGATCAACATGCTGGTATTTGACCGGGCGTCGTCCGTGGCTTGCCTTATTGGGGCTGTTGATGTGACGGCGGCAGTGGCAAGAGGAACAAGAAGAAGGCAACCAGGCGGTTTCAATGAAAAATTGGTGAGGCCTGCCCTGTCCCATCGCAGCAGCCCACCCGTCCCAGCACTGAATGTGGCACCTGATACCTTGTGGGCATGACGTGATTGTAGTTCACGTACTTGACAAAGGGCCTCACTGAAAGTTGCAGGACAACTGCCAACCATCATCCGTACACACAATCAATCGTGCTTGTTGGTGGAGGCCTGCATTCATTCACAGAGGGCGTTGGGCCAAATGCCAAGAAGTCATTCATATGCACACAGCAGCAACGAGACCCAGGGCTGCAACTAACTTTCTCAAACAACTTGTCCAGGCCGAGCCCTAACAAAATGGGTGGCCCTTGCAGATCTTGCCAAAGAGGACACAACCATCCGCTAAGGCCTGCGCTTCACCTTGGTGCGCTTCGTGATCTTCTTCTTGGACATCTTCCTGCACGGGAGATGGGAGCTGCAGAGTCGGGGCGAGTCATATAACTTGAGAAGCATGCACCCATCATCAATCACCAGCTCATGCAAAAATGTCCTACGTCGCCCTGACATGCATGCAACGTGCTGGGTCACCAAATACAAAGAGTCCAGCTGGGGACATACAGTAGTGCTCGTCCTTGGCACAGGTTCGCTTTGAAGAACGTGCCATTTGCCCCCACAAACTGAGCACAGCTTCATGAATTATGACACAGCCAGGTACGGAATCGGATGTTGAGACAATCGTCCCAACTGAGATGCAGCTTGGCAACACGGTCTGTGCGCTACACGGCTGGAAGCGCGTGCATGTGCACAGTGCACGGTGTGTTGCATGTGCAGCTCCATCCAGACTTGCCCATCACAAGCCGGAAGTCGCAAGTAGTGAACGACTCACAAATGCCCGTGAAATATGTGGCAGCCGCTCCACCGGGCATGCCATACAATCGTGCTTTTCCTCGTTGAAGTACCCTGATCCTATCAGGCCTGATTTGCCTGTAACAAAAGAAAACTAAATCAACAGTTCGCTCTCTTTCCACCAAGGGTGTTGTGGATTGCAAGGTTCTGCTCAACCTGAGGCTTTCATGAGGCACGCCATTGAGCACATCCTGTTCGCTTCCTGGGTCCAGCCTTCAACACACATTTTCTCGCCGGGCAGGCGACTGCCACACTGACACATTCAAATCGGCATCTGTTTCTCTCCGAACTGCCTCTTCCACCTGAACTGGCAGCGCTTGTCACCCATGCCCCATCCCCTCCTGGTCACCTTCAGCGGCGCGCGGTCCACGCCAGCCACCAGGCAGTGCCCGAAGGGCCGGTGCTTGGTGCCGTCGTCGAAGGCTTTCACCACGATCCCCTGCAATTTGGAAAGTGTGCGCCAAAATTGGCAACCCCCCCCTTCCCCCCCCAAAAAAAAGAAGAAGAAGAAGTGCCTAATGTGTCGCTTTAAGTCAACCCTAATAGAGCTTACTGCACACACACACACACAGAAACAAACAAACACACACAAGCACAAATAGTAGCTGACATCATGCTATTGGGGCTTTGTCCAAGTGCCTAGCTTCCAACAAATGAGCAAGAAGATTGCCAGTCCCCGATGGTTTTTGCAGATTGGTGGCATCAGTGCACGGCATAGTCGTTCCCAATGGGCCTCTTGCAGCAAATATGGTCTGGCCTTCAAATCAATGCATGCCAAAGGCAACATGTTTGACGGTGAAAGCGGGCTGCATGCAAGCTGGGTTCAGAGAGGCTGCAAAGAAGCCGCCGTGCTTCCAAAGAAATGAAGTCAAACGCCTCGAGAATCAATGATGGAGGCAAAGGGTCTTTTGCCTACCCGCCTGTATGTGTCTCCTCTCACCTTGCTTGTCCCTGGCATTACTTGTTCCAAGTAGAAGCATGCAACCATGAGACCCTGAGACCTGGTTCCCTGCTGCCCCAGAGGAATGATTGCCGAGCGCAATTCCCAATAAGGTGCTGTCCAAAGTCCACAACCGGCTGAGACGAAACGGATGCTGGGCCAGCCCATGACCCTTTCCCCTCGGCGCCTTCTTGCCGGCATAGCGGCCCTGCGCTGCACACTTCCAAGTTCAGGGGCCAGGCTGCTGGGGGAGAGTGCGGTTGCTTCGGCTGCGGGGCCCGTGGCCCCGCAGCAAGTGGGAACTTCTGTTCATAAGGCTGCTCTGAACGTGCCCTAGCCTGGTCTCCAGCAACATCAGACATCCAAGGATGCCCCACTTCAGCGCCGAAGCTTGCGCGCGCCCTTCTGGAGGAACAATTGTGTTGAAAAGACCCTTTGCGTTTAAAAAACAAAAGCTTGAAATCTCAAAACACGCACACCCACATGATAAACACAATCAGAAACACAGAATCACAGAGACGCAGAGACAAAGCGAGATAGAGACGAGTGGACATTGGTGCATAAACCTACAAACAAAAAGACAAACATATGGCCACAAAGAACATCTGCGACAAGGAGCACGTATAACACAACTTGCACACACACACACACACACACACACACACACACACACACACACACACACACACACTCTTTTGAAATAGCCTCCACACTGCCAGCCAAACTGAGCTGGCACACCTCGCAGGCGCATCCCGCGCTCCCTTGGTGCAACATTGGCGATGGCTTCGGATCAACGCTGTCTTGATCTGGTGCTACCATGCCTTCGTATCAGGGAAAGTGCTCTTCAGGCACTTCCCTCCACAGGCGGCCAGACTGCCAGGCAGGCAAGGCAAGGCAAGGCAGTCAGGCAAGGCAGCCAAGCAGGAAGGCTGGGCAGGCAAGCAGGCAGGGCAGGCAAACAAACCAACTGGCGGTTTCCGTTTGGCTTCCCATTCCTGTGGCGCGGCCACCCGAACACCTCAAGCCGGAGCCGGGCCTGCAGCATCACCACAACGCGACCCGCCTTCAGGAACTTGCCTCAGGGCCATGGAGGCTTCCGTTCCAAGCTGCCAGCTGGTGCCCGTGTTTGAAGGGGATGCCGCAAAGGGTGCCCAAAGGTTTTGGAACATTAGGCCTTCTGCCAGAATCTTTGTGAGAAAACCTGCTTGATTGATTGAGGCTATTCCGCTTATATAGACTCATCTGCCCGAAACTTGGAATTGCTCAAACTGTGAGTGATCCTTGATTGAGAGAGGATCCCACCGTCTTTGCTGCAATGCGCGCAGCCGCACAGCACCCATGTCACTGCAACAGCTCAAAGCGGCTTCCCGGCATTGGTTTCCCATTTACCCTCTACAATAAGCCACCAATCCAAACCGCCAACTGAGGATAACCTGATTCAATCAGGCGACATGAAAACATACCTGGCCACTCAGTGAGATAATATCGGGTAATACTGTCTGGCAGCGCCCTCAGGCGGACCCGAAGCAAAGTTCTAGTGCTGCCAGAATACCCATGCTTCCAACCCCGGCTGCCAGCTGCTAAGCTCTGATCCGCAGCTTGACTCTGGGTGGCAGGCAGGTCACATCGGCATGCCTGGGTCCTTCAACCCTCCGCACACTTGTGGGAAGGGGTCGGTTCCCGCTGTGATACCGGTGGAATTGGCCGTTTGGAAGGCCTTCCATTGATAATCACGAAGTGGGCAATTTCCGCAACGCGGCCACGAATCTAAACACAAGTGCCCATCACATGAGAAGCTGAAGCAGCATGCCCCTTGATTCCTTCACGCAAGGGTCTGTTGGTTTTTCCAGGCGCACGAGAAGCAAGCACATCCGATTGAACATGTGTTGAACCTTCGCCTTTGCAGCAATAGCCGCTGCACTGCCACCAGTGCTACAAACGGAAACATGATGAAGACAGTCCGCACCCACAAGCTACACAAGCCACTGCTCCAGCTGACCAATCCCAAAAGAGGTTTTGGTTTGAACACCAGTGGTAAAAAGACAGCGCACAAACGGAGAACACATGTTTGGCTACAAGAAAAATGCTGTATGGAAAGGCATCGAGCAAGCTTGACCCCTTGCAGCTTTTGACCCCTTGCGCGAGACCCGAATACGTGCGCCAGACCAGCGGGCAAGCTGTTTGACAGCTTCCCCTTGGATGCTCTGGCCCCAAAGCCCGTAAGATCTCAAGTGCATGCGAAAGAGGCGGCCTGAGCCGAGCCCCACGGCCTCTCTCGCGAACGCAGTACTGATCTGTCTCACGCATTGCGCGGGCCTCAGCTTATCCCAGAGACGCAGAGGTGCAACTTGCGGCGGGGTTCCGGGTGGTGATTGCTCCTGACGTTTTGGTTTTGTGCGAGCGGTATCAGGGAACGTTGGCCCACGCTAACACAACAGCCCCCTGGCAACAAACCACCAGCCTCCTTGGCAACAAACACCGGCGTGTACTGTTGCCTGGGACACTATGCTTCCCGCAAACGTGCCGATGGCAATCTGTGACCCCGTGTCTTGGCGCAGGGTCCTCCTCTGTTCAAACATGGATGACACATGTCTTCATCTTTTGTCCCTACATTCTCATCAAGTGCAGAAAGGGCGATGGCCAAGGAAACTTGAGAACAACGACATGTCCGACTCAGTAGTTGCCGAGATGGTAAGAATACAACCTGAAATGAACCCCAAAAAGCTATAATTAAGACCGGAACTTGGGCCAGGTCCTAATCAAAAGGATTGCCTTATGGGAATGTGCTGGTGGTGTGGGCCGGACGGACCAGGAGGAAATCGAACCCTTCGGCGGGGGCGGGGGGGCGGGGCCGTAGTAACAATCCCTGAAGCCAGCCCAGCCCCTAAATTGCTAAAGCAAAGAGAACTCAATGCTAGCATGGCTAGTGCTCGTGAAATGATTGTGTTGTCGAACGTGCTGCAATGCTGTTCACTCATGGCATGCAACATACGCTCTTCTGCGGCGATGTTAGATGCTTCACTCACTGCGCTGTTTCAAAAGCACTCGGGAATGACAAAGTATGGCCTGTCCCTGGCCTTTTTCCTTCAGCAAACGGGTGCTTGAGGCGGGGGGATCACTTTGGTCGCAGTTTTTGGATCACTTTGGTCGCAGCTGAAATCCACTCACTTTGGTCGTAGTTTGAGCATTTGCGGATCACTTCTGTCGCAATTTTTGGATCACTTCAGGCGCAGTGGAAGATAGCTTTTTGAGCACTAACAACAGGACACACGCAAAGGGTGTTGCCTCTCAAACACCTAACAACAAGACATGCCGCGTGGGGTGGGGTCGACAAGGATGTTGCCTCTCAAACACCTAACAACAAGAACTGCCGGGTGGGGTGGGGTCGACAAGGATGTTGCCTCTCAAACACCTAACAGCAAGACATGCCGGGCGGGGTGGGGTCGACAAGGATGTTGCCTCTCAAACACCTAACAACAAGACATGCCGGGCGGGGTGGGGTCGACAAGGATGTTGCCTCTCAAACACCTAACAACAAGACATGCCGGGCGGGGTGGGGTCGACAAGGATGTTGCCTCTCAAACACCTAACAACAAGACATGCCGGGCGGGGTGGGGTCGACAAGGATGTTGCCTCTCAAACACCTAACAACAAGACATGCCGGGTGGGGTGGGGCCGACAAGGATGTTGCCTCTCAAACACCATAGTCAACGGCGAAGAAACTAGGACCGAAGCGAGTAAGGAAACTAGGACCGAAGCGAGATGAAAACTAGGACCGAAGCGAGCCGGCAACTAGGACCGAAGCGAACCCGCGACCTGCCCCGAGGACAGTGCCACGATGAGAGCCCTCTCGTGCTCAGTTGCCTCGGTTCGGCAGTGGCTCTTAGCTTGCAAAGTCGGAGCAGCAGAGCCTGACATGTAACCTGCCCTTGGTTACCGTGCTGCAGCACAAAGAATACCGCTTAGTTTCTACAACGGCAAACCTTGTGCCAAGTTTCGCTTCCGCTTCGTGGGCACCTTGGCTCCGACTCACCCTCTCGCCACCCCAGCTGGCCCTTTGAGCTTGTCTTCCAAAACCCTTCGGCTGAGCGCTGCAAACTTCGGCCCAGCCACGCTGCAAAAGTCCAGCTTCTCTTGCCTCAGGCTCGTGGATCCGGTGAGAAAGCGCACGCACACTCAAATGCACGACACTGTATATCGGATACATAGCAAGTGCATGCAAGTGCCACATCAATTGGCTCAGCACCCCTTAGCAAAACCACGCATCGCAAGGGAACGAATCACAAAGCCAAAGTTCAAGCAAGCATCTGCCCTCATCAGTCACTGCCGCGACAGCACAGCATCGCACGGGAACTCCGAGTTTATAGACCCCTTGATCCAGTCATCCGCGACTGGGCCCCTTTTCCGCCCTGATCAGTGAACCTGGTTCATGGTTCAAATCAACAGGAAGCTTCCAGGTCGGGAATTCGGGCCCATTCTCTCGGCCCAGGTGCAGGTCGGACAGGTGCAGCGCTTGCAGCTGCGGGCTAAGCGCCTCGCGCCTCAGATGGCGCTCCCAGGCTGCCAACTGGTGCACCCCTTGATTCATGAAAGGAAGCATGGAATCAACCATAGTGGGTACATGTGCCGCTTGCTAAGGGGAAAAGGCCCCCGAAAGAATCTCCGTGAGATCCTTGGCTGTGGCCACGTCCATCCGATAGGATACGGTGAGCGGTCTGCGGCCTTTGCGGCTCGAGGTTTTTTGTTTACTGCCGTGTTTGCTCGGCAATGTTTGCTGCAAACGTCTGACGGAGATATTCGGTTGAGCTCGCCATGCACAGTGCTGTCACCCATGGCAGTGCTGGTGAAGCCGCGGTTGTTCTTTGTCCTGCGGCTGTCTCATTCAAGTGGGGCCCGTTATTGGAGGAACCATCACGGGCTGGCTGCCGCACGCCCTTCACATAGCTCGGGCGTTCAGTGATAGAAATTGCAACAAGGCCATCCCAGAGGACGAGGGGACCTTTTTGGGACAACTGGTCACACAACACATCTTGCTTGAGACCTTCGCCCGCTTGCTTCTACAGCGTGCCTTCGTGCTTCTACCGCCGCCTTTTACGAGAGGCTGCCCCGTGCCAGCCTGCGCCTTTCTGTCGGGGGAAAGCAGCCAGTGGGCCTGACCCCGCTGGATTCCAGACCTCTTGCGCCCGTTAACCCTTACACTGGCATGGCCAGGTTGGGCGGCCCACGCTCCAGCCCAGCAGCCACGTTGCAATGCCTCTTTCTCTCACTTCCGCCACGCCCAAAATGAGTCATGATTCGCCATGTCGCATCATGTCCCATAGCGCTCCTTACGTGTTGCTTACGCTACTCAACCCACGCTTTTTCTTACGCGACATGGATTTCAAGCAGGGCTTTCGCGACCCTACGCCTGGCACACCGCATGGCACTGCTGGGAAGGCGGCTTACGCGATGACGTTGCCTTACTCAAGTCTCAAGCGTACTACGCGAAGTACACTTTGGCAGCTCCAGCTCGAGAATAGCAACTGTTCCATGGGGCAAGGGCCTTGGCGCCCTGTATGCGCGCCCTTGCGCACGGGATGCAGACATGTCTGTAGAGGCAACCTACTTGACTACCAAGAGCCATCTGTTAGAACACAAGCTTGCACTGCTTGCGCGTCGTGTTCCCTCAACATCTTCTTATTTCGCCTTACGCCGTGCGCCTGCGAAGCATTTGCTTACGCAAAAGTTCGACAACAGGGCGATATGACATAGCCCTTGTCAAACATGTACACCGAGGTCTTAGAGGTTGCCCACTTGGCGTTGGAGATCACGCAATCCAAAGCACGAGTCATCATCAAACCCCTTGTTTGCACACTTTTCGGCTCTTTGAGCCATTTGCATTCATTTATGCCCCAAAGACTGCCTGCACCCTAGGCTGCTTCACAGCCGTGGTGCCACAAATAGTAGGGAAGCAAGAACTGGTCTCGCTGGATGTCATGGGTCCTGGGCGAGACATCAAGGAACATAATGCATGCTGCCGCCGCCCGGGTCCGACACGTTCTCGAGGCATTGACATTGCTTCGGTTGCTGGATCTCAACATGCCTGGCATTGCCATGATGAGATCTATCCTGGCTGGCCATCGCATACACCTACACATCGTGCAGCGCGGGCGCATGTTGTAAGTTCTCTCAAAGGCAGTCTTCACCGCATCTGCCCGCTCATGCTTGAGGTTGCGGAAGATGATGCAGCTCTCATAGTAGTGCGGCCTGTGCGCAAAGCCAAACCCAACCAGTGGTTAACCACCTACCTGCTAATAAGTGGGTTGACTCCACTTGAGGCGAAGGTCCCTCCCTCACATCGAAGTGACAAAATCCTGCTGACCATAACAGTGCACAGTCAAGTGTCCTCTAATTAGTCGCTTGCTCAGTTGCTCATCCCATTTGTATACTGTCGTGCCATGCCACGAAAAGCTGAACAAAGTAGCTGAGTTGATTTATAAAAAAAAATGAGCTAGTGGCCCTGAGCTGGAGGGATGGCCATGCGTTGCATCCGCCCGCCGCCCAAACACAACAAACACAACAAACACAAAGAAACAAAACAAACAAACAAACAAACAAACAAACAAACCAACCAAAAAAAAAAAAGGACGGACGGACAGACAGACGGACGGACAGACGGAGGAACAGACAAACAGACAGGTAGACACACAGACAGACAGACGGATGGACACACAAACGGAAGGAAGGACGGGCAGAGAAGCTTCAAGCTGCCCCAAGCGGAGTCACTCCCAAAACCAACCCTAAGCTTGACCTTGTCAGCCAGGCCTTTGCCGGAACTTCTGATGCGGCCGAGGCTCGGAGAGAATGGAGCTGCTGCAGAGTGCAGAGTCGTCATGAGCTCCTGGGAAGAAAATCACTCTTGAGAGTTTCTCAAATGTAGGGACCCTTCCTGTGGTTGGCTTCCCGTTGGGGTTCCTCTGAAAACTATCCAAAAGGGGATATAGCACCCTGCCTCAAGTGCAAACACAGTGAACGCAACCCCTGGCACAACAGCATAGCGGCCTCGGCATGCTTGCCATGGGCCCTACACGCTAGTCGAAACGCCAGACGGTTCCCGTACCCAACCCGCGATAGTGTGCTGAAGGGCCACAAGGATTCCTGCGGCTGCTACCCTTGTACTGAGAACATGAGGTCACGCCCTTCAACATGCCTGTCAGCATGAACCTGGGCAAGGCACCAAATGCCCAGCCCCCTCCCCCCCCCCCCACTGCCTTCCAGTGTTGAACATTGCGCCGGGAGGACTTCACATATTCCGGTCCTGGGGGGAGGCCAGTGCTGATCCATGCTGTTCCATCTGCATGCCAACTTTGCCATCAAACTTCTGAGTCCCAAGAATTGGGTGCAGCTTCTTAGCGTTTCTGAGACGTCGGCAAAATGCCGCCTCCAGATGCGAATCTGATGCGTGTTTGCCGCCCAACGCTCCCCAGTTGAGTTGCCATGTTGCCAGCATGGCTGAATCAATGAATCAATTGCGTATACGAACTGCGTATGCATACATGATGTCATTCCCTGAAGTAGAACACCATACCCATATGTTGCATTGCATTGACTTGAGCTACATGTCATTACATTACATTACCTTACACATTGCGCCACACTACGTTACATTACACTACATTGCTTTACACTTTACACTACGCTACACTACGCTAACACTATATAAATTACACTAGGCTAAGACCACATTGCAGAACAACACAAACTACATTGCAGATCTGGTGACAATACGAAAACGTTGTGTTGCAACCCGCTTAACTGCAACAAGGTCCGTACAGGACAGTACATCCCTTTACTAACCTTACATTACCCTGCATTTCACTGCATTACATCTCAATACATCGCACGGCTTCACAGTCATTACATTGCGTTACATTGCAGTGCATTGCACTAGATTGCATCGCAATGCACCTCAATACATTGCGGTGAATGACATGGTATTGTAATACATTACGTTGCAACTCAGTACTTCACATCACAACATTACATCACAGCACATTATCTTGCCTTTAAGTGCAGCACAGCACAGCATACTACAGCACAGTACAATACAGCACACTGCAGCACATTACATGACATACACTATCATACTCTGCACGCTGTATGCACTTACGATAGCGTATGCACGTAATGTGTGTGTGTGTGTGCGCTCGCGTGTCTGTGCACATGTGTACCTGGACATGCAACCATGTGCAAATCGTCAGGCCTTGAGTCATGGGTGCTGACCAAGCTGCTTTTTGTTAGCATGTCGTTGATCTCCCAAAGCATGCCTCAGGCTTCCAATTGCTGACTGGCCAAGACAAAACTTGTGTGGCTGGACAATGGCACAAGGATTCATCGCAGCAATCAAGCAGCAAGGACATGCCTGCCAACAAAACATCTCACTGACAGGAAAAGATCCTAAAAACGGGGTGTTTCCCTTTTTTACGAACTCTCGTTTCTGAAGTTGACCTTGCAGGAAAGCACTGCCTACCGAACTGCAACTGGGACCGGCTCGCAGCTGGAGTTGTTCTCATATTTTTGAAGACTGCTTCGCAGAATTACTCCCGACGGCCGGGCCTAGAACCTCTGGCATCTGGTGCGCTCCCCGGTGACCTGTGAAGCTAAACCTGTAGCACAATAGCCATGCCGTGCTCTTGCACATAGCTCTCAAGAATTGGGCAAGACAATGTGACAGGAATCGTGAAAATCTTGTGGAATCAATGCTGTGTCAGTCCTTCCATGCGCGTGTCGCCTTTCGTTCTATTGACTCGCCATCGTATAATAGTCGCACAGTTTGTGCAAGGTGCAGTCAAAGGCATCTTCGCAAGGACGCCAGTACCACTTCAGCATCAGCAGCGGCCTTACTTGGTGCTGCAATGTGAATCTCTAGTTGGCGGCTTGTGCAGGATTCTCTGCAAGCCCAGTCGCACGTTTCGGAAGGAGTACTATCCACTAGAGGCCCCTCTAGGCGAGGGATCCAGTGCATGACCTCTTCTCTGGGTCCCTGCAACCATCAACTTTGACGCACTCTTTCGTCGACCCCTGATCAAGAAAGCCACCCAATTCGGTCAAATAAGAAAAGGCGCTTGTCATCATGTTCACGAAGAAAGTCGGTGAGTCGGTGCAGGTTGATCGTCATGTCATGGTCCTGAGCTTGTTGCGCCGGGCCCCCCTTTCCCAAACAGGATCGCCGCACACAGGAACTGATGGCGCTCATGTGAATTTCATGCCCGTCTTGACCAATCCACCCTTTGCCTGCGCAAGAATCTTCTCTCCGAAGTCTCGCTCAACTTGGAGAAAAAAACACTCACCACCCCTCTGCGAATCAGCTCCTTCCCTTGCAGGCCGTGGCGCGTAGCCGATGAGCCAGTCATAGCTGGCGGTCAGCCAGCTGGGTGGAGTGAACTTCAGGGACTTCGAGGTCAAGCGTTCCTATGGGAGGCTGGCCGCGGTGGCCGAAGGCGATGGCGACCCAAAAGCCAAAAACACGGCAAGGCGACGACAGCAGTGAAGCATCGCAAGACCTGGGGAGCAACATGTCATCGCAAAGCGTTTGCGTGTCTTCGAAGGACTGAATGGATGTCTTCATTGATTTCCCGTCGCTTGTTGGTTGGGGCATGTTGGGGCGGCGTGCTGCGGCCTGAGGCTAGTTGACTCACTGCAAGCTGCCAACCTGTCGCGCTGTGCTGCCTGGCGGCTGAAGACACCTGAGCCAAGCATTCAAACACAACCACCCCCGCCGCCCTGTGGCGGCGCAGCAGGTGGCTTTAGGACAGCTACTCACCAAGCTCCCTTGTCTCGCTCTGCGTGCGCTGGGGGAGGCTTCCGCAAGCTTGGGTCAACTAGGACCAATCGAGCCGCGCACAAACCCCTTGATGGGTGCTTGTAGCAAGGTACTTGTAAAACAGCGCAAGCACTGTAGAAGAAATCATTGTGTAAGAAATTGAGGGGCTGAGAGTGCCAAATCAAGTAGGTTGCAACTGCATTTGCTGCTAAGAAATTGATCCCCCCATGCTTCGTCCAATGTCTTAGCAAACTTGTGATATGAAGTATGCATTTTTCACCATCAGGGAAGTGCCCGCTAAGAAATCCAGGGCTCCATGTCCAAGAAGCATGTTTGACCACCAGGGAAGTGCCCGCTCAGAAATCCAGGGGTTCCAAAAACGCTTGAAAAGGGAAGTGCCCGCTAAGAAATCCAAGACATTCAACCCCTGAATTGCTTGGCGAAAGACAACTGTCCACACCAGGACTTGAATCAATGAAGCTACAGGTACGGTATGGGTGTAAGAAATCCAACCCCCCTGGCCCCCTGGGCCCCAATTTCTTGTGCAGTGCTCGCACTGCATTCCTCGGCCTTTCTAGGCATCAGAGCCACAACTGAAATGGCCATATGGCTCTTGGGCACTGCTCCTGTATGCTTCCACAAGCTCGCGTGGCCATCCGGCTAGCCCAGGGAGGGTGGCTCATGTGACTCAAGCCCAAGCAACGAAACGCGGCTTGCCAAACGGGCGGCATAGCGGGTGCCCCGCTGCAGCGGCAGCAGCTTCAGCTGCCAGCCTTGGCCCTTCCAGCGATCCAGCGCTGCCTGGGCGGCAAAGCGGACCTCACCCTTACCCTCCACCCTTATGAAACCTGACAGCGCAAGAACCGGTTTCCTCTAAAGCCATTCGGTGGGAATCATGCCAAGTTCGGCGCGGGCAACTCCCACAAGCCTTTCAACGTTTCCCGTGTCACACTTGGCAGGGCACCGCACGCCCCCGCCAAACTGAAGTGCCCCTGACCTTTGAGGCATGGCCAGCTCCATTTAGCTCCAATTCCAATTCTGTGAAAGAATGCTTTCTTCCAGGCAACGGCCAGAGGGAAGCTTTCTCCAAGGGGGCCCAGCCTTGGGAGCCTTCCTTTGGGTGACCTCGTCCAAAAAAAGGAAGGCATCCACCTTGGCAGCGTGGCAGGCGCACTTGCGTGGAAACTATGACAGCGCGCATTTCACGGCCCCTTCTCGCCACACGCTCCTGGACCCGAGGGGTACCTCATGCATTCCAGAAACAAACACGGAAGCCGCATCGAAACCCCTCCAGCCAGGCAGCATCAGGAGGAACCTCAGGAAGTGCAGGGGTGAAGCACCCGAACTAGAAGACGCAGTTTGCTAGACAGCTTTTCATTTGCTGGCATGCCACGCTGTCTGGCGGCTTGGTAGCTTCATTGGGCAATAACATCGCAAATTCGCCCGAACATGCAAGTGTCCTCCGTGAAATCGGCTTACGGCCGCGCAGTATCGCACTGTGAATGGGTGTGCAGCATTCACATTTTGACCCACAACCACGGCAACCAGGGTGGGGTAAAATATGGTTTAAACACTACCTTCACAAGAAATCATCATCACAACCAATGGTTTAAACATGTTTAAACCAATGGGTAGCCCCACCCTAATCTAGAAAACGGTTTGGATGTGGTGTTTGTGGCTCCACCCCTGTAGAAGGTTAAAAGGGTACTAAAAGAGCACTAAAAAATGACCAACAGGGGGAAGAACAGGTGAAATCCACAAAAGGCGCATCCAAACCGTTTCTTAGACCTAAGGGCCACTCCAAAAAACTGAATAACCAAGGGTCGAAGGGTCGGACCCAGGTGCTTTCATGAGCCTCGCCCTGTCCCCCAGTCCCCGCATGCCGAGCCACGCATGGCACCTGAAAGCCACGCGGCTCTTCATAGCCCCCGAGGTTGTACGTGTACACGGCTGCACCTCGAGTGACGCGCACATGCACTTCTCAAGCTTTTCCGTACCCTGCCCAAAGCTCGGTTCGCCAAAAGGCAGCAGAAGGCCAACACACCATGCTTCTGGACCTGCAAGCTAAACGAAGGACCAAACGCCAGCACGAATGGCTGAAAGCGCAGTAGTGTCAATAGTCTCTTCCAGTCATCTATCACTATCACCAACCAAGGCATCAAGCGCATTCAAGCACGCTGAGGCGCCATGACAAAGGCCATCTTGCCAATCATGCAACCAAGCAAATTTGGCAGACTCAAGCTATCAACGCGCAGGTGCGCAAGGCAGCGGCCAGCGGTAGCAAATGAGCGCAGCCTAGCTAAGACTTTAAGATCCATGAGAGGTGTCGTTTGTACAATCACGAGGCAGTGAAAGCAAACGAAGGGAAAGGTTTGATACTTCTTGGGCTGGCCTGGCCCACTTCTCAACAATCAAACTGCCACGCTCTGCTGCGTGCACTTTTTCCTTGGGAAGGCATGCAAACACAACGAGTTGTGCTGGCTGCTGGCTATGTTCATCAAGGGTTTTGGCGGTGGCATGCCCCAAGCTGATTCGAGAAAGTAAGCAGCAGGTTGCATGGGCAGCTCAGCGTAACGGCCGGGCATGGCTATCGTTGCGCTCGGAGCAAGCATTTGCGGAACTCATGGGCAGCGGAACGTACGCACCAAACTTGCATTCACGAATTCTATTCAACAGCGGGTCACTCATTGCCTGAAGGACCTCCGGCCAGCGCCACGTCCCTAATTTGCAGATAGGGGCACGGGGCGTTCCCTTGGATCTCGGCTCCTCGCAGTGCTGGTTGGCCCTGGGTGATCCGGCACGGCGCTGATTTAGATTGCTGCACGGCCAAGGACTACTAGAGGAATGCTCGTTATGAAGCAAGCCCTCGCCAGGCATCACAAACCCAAAAGTTTGGCCGCCTGTCTGGAATACCATTGGTTTTGCATGGACGTGAGCGCCATGCGCCTATATAATCCGTGTTGTTGCCCCGACCTGCATGCTTGGCTTTACAATCCGAAACTTGGAACTATGTCAAGCGTCCGAAACTCGCACGGTACCACAATGTAGTGGTGGTGTTGAATGAGAGCCTAACTATATCACATGCCGGAAATCTGTGTGTGTGTGTGCTTGTTTTTGTGTCTGTGTTTGTGTTTGTGTGTTTGTGTATTTGTGTGCTTGTGTTTGTGTGTTTTGTGATTGTGTGTTTGTGTGCCTGTGTGTGTTTTGTGTTTGTGTGTTTTGTGTGTGTGTGTTTCTGTGTGTTTGTGTTTGTGTTTGTGTTTGTGTTTGTGTTTGTGTTTGTGCTTGTGTTTGTGCTTGTGTTTGTGCTTGTGTTTGTGTTTGTGTTTGTGTTTGTGTGTGTGTTTGTGTGTGTTGTGTGTGTGTGTTTGTGTGTGTGTGTGTGTGTGTGTGTGTGTGTGTGTGTGTGTGTGTGTGTGTGTGTGTGTGTGTGTGTGTGTGTGTGTGTGTGTGTGTGTGTGTGTGTGTGTGTGTGTGTGTGTGTGTGTGTGTGTGTGTGTGTGTGTGTGTGTGTGTGTGTGTGTGTGTGTGTGTGTGTGTGTGTGTGTGTGTGTGTGTGTGTGTGTGTGTGTGTGTGTGTGTGTGTGTGTGTGTGTGTGTGTGTGTGTGTGTGTGTGTGTGTGTGTGTGTGTGTGTGTGTGTGTGTGTGTGTGTGTGTGTGTGTGTGTGTGTGTGTGTGTGTGTGTGTGTGTGTGTGTGTGTGTGTGTGTGTGTGTGTGTTTCTGTGTGTTTCTGTGTGTTTGTGTGTGTGTTTGTGTGTTTGTGTGTGTGTGTTTGTTTTGTGTTTGTGTGCTTTGTGTGAGTGTGTTCTTTTGTATGTGGGTGCGTGTTTGTGGGTGTGTTTTTGTGTGTGTGTGTGTGTGTTCGTGTTTCTGTGTTTGTGTGTGTTTGCGTGCTTGTGCGTTTGTTAGTTTGTGCGTGTTTTGTGTTTGTGTGTTTTGATGTGTTTTGTGTGAGTGTGTTCTTTTGTATGTGTGTGTGTGTTTGTGGGTGTGTTTTTGTGTGTGTGTGTGTGTTTCTGTGTGTGTGTGTGTTTGTGTGTGTGTGTCTTTGTGTGCTTGTGCGTTTGTGTAGTTGTGTGTTTTGTGTTTGTGTGTTTTGTGTGAGTGTGTTATTTTGTATGTGTCTGTGTGTTTGTGGGTGTGTTTTGTGTGTGCGTGTGTTTCTGTGTTTGTGTGTGTTTGTGTGTGTTTTGTGTGTGTGGTAGGTGTGTGTGTGTGGTAGGTGTGTGTGTGTATTGTATATTTTGTGCGTTTGTGGGTGTGTTTGTGTGCGTTTCTTGTGTGTGTGTGTGCGCGTTTCTGTGCTTGTTTATTTGTGTCATGGGTGTGTTTGTGGTATGTGTGTGTGTGTGCTTGCGTGTGCTTGTGTGTGTGTGTGTTTGTGTGTTTGTGTGTTTGTGTGTGCGCGTGTGGGTCGTCTGCGTGTCTTGTGCATGCTTGTGTGTGTGTTTCTCTTTGTGTGTAACTGCTTCTGTGTGTTGTGTGTGTGTGCGTTTGTGTGTACACATGTGTCCTTGTGAGTGTGTGTGTTTCTGTGCACTGTTGTGTGCTTTGTGTGTGCTTTGTGTTTGTTCTATGTGATTAAGTCTGTGTCTGTGTCTGTGTGTGTGAGTGCTTCTGTTTGTGTTTCCTTGTGTTTGTGTGTGTGTGTGTTTGTGTCTGTGTCTGTGTCTGTGTCTGTGTCTCTGTCCGTGTCTGTGTTTGTGTCTGTTTGGGTTTGTGTGTGTGTTGTTTGGGTTTGTGTGTGTGTTGTTTGTGTGTGTGTTTGTGTCTGTGTTTGTGTCTGTGTTTGTGTGTTTGTGTGTGTGTGCGTGTGTGTTTGTGTCTGTGTCTGTGTCTGTGTCTGTTTGGGTGTGTGTTGTTTGTGCTTGCGTTTGTGTTTGTGTTTGTGTCTGTGATTGTCAATGTGTCGATCTGCGCTTGTGTCTGTATCTGCGTTTGCGTCTGCATTTGTGTTTGTTTGTCTGTGCTTGTGTCTGTGCTTGTGTCTGTCTGTGTTTGTGTCTGTTCTGTGTCTATGTCTGTTTGTGTTTGCGTGTGTTGTTTGTGTTTGTGTTTGTGTTTGTGTTTGTGTTTGTGTTTGTCTGTGGTTCTGTGTGTGTGTGTGTTTGTGTATGTGTTTGTGTGTGTGTGTTTGTCTCTGTGTCTGCGTCTCTGTCTCTATCTATGTCTGTGTCAGTTTGTGTTTGTGTGTGTGTCTTGTCTATGTCTGCGCTTGTGTTTGTGTTCGTGTTTGTGTCTGTGGTTGTGTCTGTCTACGTGCCTGTCTGCATGTCTGTTTGTCTGTTTGTCTGTTTGTCTGTTTGTATGTGTGTTTGTGTGTGTTCGTGTTTGTGTCTGTGGTTGTGTCTGTCTACGTGCCTGTCTGCATGTCTGTTTGTCTGTTTGTCTGTTTGTATGTGTGTTTGTGTGTGTTTGTGATTGTGTCTGTGTATGTTTGTGCTTGCGCGTGTGTGTGTGTGTGTCTTGTTTGTGTGTGTGTGTGTGTGTTCGTGTGTGTGAGGGTGTGGGTGTGGGTGTGGGTGTGGGTGTGGGTGTGGGTGCGCGTGCGCGTGCGCGTGCGCGGGTGCGAGTGCGGGTGCGGGTGCGGTGTGCGGTGTGCGGTGTGCGGTGTGCGGGTGCGGGTGGGTGGGTGGGTGTGTGTGTGTGTGTGTGCGTTTGCGTCTGGACTTGCGTTTGTGCTCGTCTGCGTGAGTCTGTGTTTGTGTCCGTGTGTGTGTGTGTCTGTGTGTCTGTGTCTGTGTCTGTGTCTGTGTTTGTGTTTGCGCTTGTGTTTGTGGTTGTGTCTGTGCGTGTACTTGTGTGTGTTTGTGTGTTTGCGTTTGTGTGCTCAAATCACGTGAAGCAGGATGTTTTTCAACAAAACACGCCAACCAAACATCCCTCCAAACCAGGCACACACCCGGCCACCCTCGCTCAGCCTGATCCCGCATGGCTGCACCCCCGATGCCAGCTGAAGAAGACTCGATGGCCTGCACACCCCGCGCGAATCTTCGGCTCGGCCATGCAAATGCCCTATCGGTCTTTGGCATTGTGGCGAAGGCCTGAGCTTGGATGAATCTTACTCATTTTTCTCAACTGGGCAGAGTCCTGCGGTGAATCTCTGGCCGGGCTTCCCAACTAATCTTGAAGGCACCGAGAGCGTTAGCACTCGTATGCCCAGCTTAACGCGAGCAGCGAGCGCGTCCATGCCTGGCATGCGAGTGGTTGGAAGCCGCCGGCTGCCTCGGCTGCGCTCCCTTTGAAGCTGCTGGCATCTGCGATGTGGTGACTCCTGAACTCTCCGGTGAGTCCAATCGTTGTCTCCTGCTTCATGGGCCCAAACTTGCAGAAGCCAAGGCCAAGCCAACACATGGCACCAAATGTTGCGTCAGCTGACACCAGCATGATAGGCGTCCGAGTTCCACACCCATCACGGCGCATCACGGGACCTGTCTGCAAAAGCAGCACCACTTTGCAAAACCTCCCCAGCCAAAGCCACCCCACGTGCGGCAGACACACGCAGTAATGCAAGCGAAATTGCGCAAATTGCTCCCACTCGTCTCTCATTGCGAACCACTGCGCAGCCACTTGTGGACAGGGAGCAAGATTTCCTGTGGCATGCTGCCGAAGCATATGCAATGATCAACGGCAATTCAGCAGCCATCATACTGATCGATGACTGCCAGGCACCCACAGCAGGCAAACTAACATACGGTGTCAAGCAGCCCCACAACTCACCCTCCTTCACGCTGGCGCCAGACTTCTTTCAAGAACAAAAATACACGAGTGTTTGGATCCTTAAATGGGTTGCCTTTGGGGCAGTCAGAACTGGCCGAAAATGTGCCTTTTGGATCAAGCCGCTGGTTACGCTTCTTAATTGCCTGCATGATGCTTGTTTGTTTCTCGTCCGCAAGTGAGCGGCGTTCAAAACCTCCTGTTTTGAATCTAGGTTGTAGGGGACTCTTACGCCGAGGTGCTTACGCTTCTGCCACGCCACTGCACTTGCATCCCACACTTACGCAGCCTCACAGGCCCTCAATCCCCCGGCAATCGCAACGACAAGTGGTTTCGAACCCTGCTCAAGTCAAGTGGGAACTCGTTGTAACACCAGCCTTACATCTGGTATTTCCCTTCTGGCAGATCCGCTTAGTCCATCAGCATGGCCGCACGCAGCCCAAGCCTGCGAACACGGGCACCAGGAGCCATAGCAAGCGCCATGACCTTGCGAACGGCCATCTACTGCAATCGATGCCCTTCACACTTGGGACGGACAGGTCATGCTGAACATATGTTTGGCTTTACTTGTTGCAGCACCTGCAATGCAACCAACCGCCACCATTCTACTTTGTAGTCTTGTGCTTGCTTCATACAATTGCCGGCTTGGGGCAGTCGTCCGGGCACCAGGGTAGGCCCATGGAGCTCTCTTCTGCAATTGAGCCTCATTTTGAGACTCTTCTGGGCATCGCTGGATCTGCGGAAAACACCCGGACACTTTGATTCGTTCAGGAAAAATCGTCATGCTATTGTGGGTTCGCCCTCTTTGTCTTCAATTTTGTTCGCGCGATTGCCCAAAAGAAACACATAGCCAGCCAACGCGAAAACAAGCTGAACGTCGACCACTTCTGGACTTGGGCCCCGGACTCCATGGATCCCGACTAAAGGCCTGCTGATATAGAGCTGAGCCCACCCGGCACGGCAGAACGCAATCAATCGCCCAGCCACGAATCGTGCAAAGACTAAGCTCAGTGACCTTCACTGAAGTACTGGGCAACATCATGAGGACCCACAACGCCTCATTGAAGCATGGAAGGATTCACCCTGCCTGATGCAACATACCGCGATGCTCGCACATAATCTGTCGTCCCTCCTCTGAAATACTTCTGCAACTCCTTGCAGCTGTCACGGCCCAGTAGCCAAAAGAACACCGCAACGTTGAATCTTGGGAGCACGTGTTTACAGCTGTCCGCCTGGGGAATTTCATGTTGTAAACCGTTTCGAGGCAGACTTGCCTGGAGAACCTGGATCCCTTGTGACCTGGCCTCTTGGCATTTGGCACCCTTTTGTCATGCGCTGGCGCTGCCTGGCGAACGGTGCAACAGTTCCGGCCCGCACTTTGCAAGCTGCAAAGAATTTCTCCATCCGCTGTAACAACTCCGTGGGCGTTCATCATAGCAAGCTGCCCCAAGATACGCCTGGGGCTTGATTCCTGTATGAAGCAAAAACAAACGCTTGCAAAGGTGCATGTGTCCAAGAAAGTGCAGGATTTACGAAATAGATGCCCAGGCCGTGCTTTGGCTGGTGTATAGTTTGCTCCGCCTTCGGATCTGTGGCCGGGCTCTCCCATGCAAACTTACAACTCGTAATGACTCGAGCCAATGCTGGGGCATCCCTGGACCCAATGCCTTGCATCCGCTTGACAGCCAACCCACGTAACACACTGCCAAAAGAGCGACAATTACCCATGCCTCGTTGCTCACGCCGTTCGTTCGTTGGGGACAAGTGTTTCGGGGATGTTTCTGAAGGTAGGAAAGTCTCTCATTTTGTGCTTGGAGATACCCAATTGTGCAGCGTGTCCCCGCCTTGCGCGCGTTTTTGGCCGCGGCGCTCCTAACAGCATGGCTGTTCAGGCCAAGCAACTTTCTGGGAGGCACCTTGCCCGGTAGCATGTTGTACGTTCGATCCGTGGTCATCAAACTATTCAAAGGGAAGGCATAGAGGTGCATAAGCATCATAAAGCTTTGCCATTGCAATTGTACAAGCACCGGGGAGCGCCGGCGATCTAGCACGTTGTATGTCCCCGGCACTTTGCTGCTATGCAAGTGATGCATCCTCTCACCAAACAGCAAGTAACCGAGAATGGAAAAACAAAGGAAGCCTGGCGATGAAAATCCCAACAACACATTCAAGCATAACGTCACCCTCTTTGAGGGAGCACCCCGTTCATTCCCGCACGCTTTAGCAGCCGCCGAAAAAAACATGATAACCTAGGGAGTGGGAAAAGTCCTGGGGGCGTGCCTCGATGGCTGACATATATGGCGCAGAGAGCGGTGGTGCCACAGGGTCGAGCACCCGATGGCCAGTTGCCACAGGATAGTTTGTGTCCTTGGAAATGGGCGGCCCATGGACCATGACTCACCAGGAAATCAGAAGTATGTTGCCCAACAATATGCGTCCAACAACCAAGTGGAGGATCGCATACCATAAGCGAATCCATGGACAGCCGACTGACCTGCCAATTTGGTGGGGGGATCCTGGCCCTGGCAAAGCAGCTCGTGAAACACTGCCCTCTGTCGTACAGAACCCTTCACAAACTTTGAGCCTTTACATGTGCAGTCTTCCCAACCTCCCCGCAAATCGACAAAGTAAGCCATCAACCTGATCCGGCAAGAAAAGGCTACCTGAAAAGCGTGGCCCGACCCCCCCCCCACATCGTGCTGGCCTAAACGGCCACATCAGCCTGCAAGCTTGTTCGTTGAGTCTATGCCGCCAAGCATCTGCGTCCAAACTATCGCCTCAGTATGTGGCAAGAGGGGCACCACAGTTCACAATCAGTTGGACAAACACAACAAGTCGGACACTGCCGCTTCTCTCGACAACAAGCTTGGAACATAGTGCAGAAATGCTTCATCACGATACTGGATATTTTGGCCATGACCCTCTGCTTCGCCAGCACACCTTTGCCTCTGCCCATTGCCTGTTCAGTACAGCCTGGCATAGCCCAATGACACTCATTGAGCGATACTAGTATTTCAGACCTTGGTCATGCCACATTCCCCCCCCCTTCCCCTCCCCCAAACGAAAACAAAAAAAGAAGTCTGCAACTTTATGGGCACCCTATTGGGCACCCCTTGGCCCCATAGCAGCCCAGGAACGTCCCCCACAGGCCACGAAGGCCGCGAAGCCCTTGGGCGCACCGTCCCCCAGGTCCGCCAGCTCCTCGTGGCGCTCCGCGCTGTAGGCCTCGGCCGGCAAGGCTCGCCAGCCTGCACCTCCGATGTCTTATGACCCGAGCAACCTGAAAGAAAGTTGCCACTTCAACAGCGCTGCCTTTTTTTTTTGAAAGGCGGCCTTCAAGAATGGGAACATTTCCACTGAAAAGACCTGGATTGAAAAGGCCTAAGTGGTTTTGTCAAAATGCTTCAACCCAACTCATCCTCATGTTGAAAGAGGAAACGGCGATCCCGGCGATGAACCTGATCAACGACGCTTGCAAAATTACCTCCTGTCCAAGTCGCGATTGGATGGATGGATGGATGGATGGATGGATGGATGGATGGATGGATGGATGGATGGATGGATGGATGGATGGATGGATGGCTGGCTGGCTGGCTGGCTGGCTGGCTGGCTGGCTGGCTGGCTGGCTGGCTGGCTGGCTGGATGGATGGATGGATGGATGGAAGGGTTTGGATGGAAGGGTTTGTATGGAAGGGTTTGTATGGAAGGGTTTGGGTGGGTGGGTGGGTGGGTGGGTGGGTGGGTGGGTGGGTGGGTGGGTGGGTGGGTGGGTGGGTGGGTGGGTGGGTGGGTGGGTGGATGGGTGGATGGATGGATGGATGGATGGATGCGTTGCATAAATTCAATTAAGGCGTTCAGAGTCAAGGCCAGCTGGGAGCGATTGCTGAGTGTGGGATCCAATGGGTAACTACTACAATCTGGGCCCCATGTTGCAAGTTTAGCCGCAACCCCTGCTGGGCTAACTGCATCGGTTTCTGCATGCAGCTCGAATCTTGTCCGTGAAGCTTGAGGTCCAGCCTTGTGAAAGCATTATGCATTTGGTTCAACAGCTTTCTGCCACCATGTGGCGCAGTTGCTTCGAGCAAGAGGGCAGTCATGGCCAACGCATAGAATCGGTGTGCCTTCTGCCCTATTTCTCGTTTAACCGGTTAAAAGGGCCCCCCACGCAAGTGTCACACCCCCATAAGTGTCAAAAGTGACTCGCGGGTTCGTTTCCAATTGTGTCAAGGGGACCCCTTACTGACCTCGCTCTTCGACCAGGCAGTAACCCATCCTCGCACAAGGTCCGAGGCGCCGTGGCGGCGGCACCCTGGAAGCCACGGCAGACCTGGGAGCGGACCCACGGACCGACCGTGGACCCACGGACGGACCGACCTGGAAGCTTCAGTAAGTGGCCCCCAGTCCCTGTTGGCAAAACTCGCATTTTGGGTGTGCCGCAGGGTTGTGTCGACTTGTTCGTTTACCGAGGTTTCCCATGTCCATGGCCCAGCTTGGTGGCACGATAGCCTTTGCCATCCGATGGCAAGCAGCAAGCTGAGACAAAGGCCCTGACATCCTTTCATCTGTCGCAGCTTCTGATCCAAATAGACTGGAACCCTCTCCACTCTAGCCGACCAAGACCTCATAGCTGCCATGATCTGTACTCCATGCTTTTTTTAATCGTCCCACAAGAGCGACACCCACAGACGCCGGGCGACCACGAAAGACTCCTGGCTGCTGTTCCTGGAGGCCCGGGGCTTGCAGCAAAGCACCTCCTGGCATTGGGGGATTGGTCATGGCCCGGCCAAAGCTTTCGATTCAGTAGACATCTGTAAGCGATGTTTCCCTCATGGATGACTGGTGCCAGTCTTAACCGCCGATCCAAACCGTGCATTGCCTAGAATACGTGATGCCTAGAACTCTCACTCTCTTCCTTGCCGGGGGCTACTGAACCTCCTACTTTTCACGAGGCAGCATGGCGATACATCATGAGACCGTGACCTAGCGGCCCTGTCACCAATCCTTTCTGAGGCAACTGCAAGCAGGAAACGAGCATGTCAAGCCGTCGTGCCCCTTGGACCTGCCCAAGCGCAATTGGTTCTTTCGCTGGGCCCACGGCATGCAGGGGCAAAGCCGTGTGTGCCTCAAAGTCCCGCTGCAGGCGGGCGTAGAGCTCCGCCGAGTGCTCCCCTGGCACGGTTGCGCTAGATTCCCCTTCCATGCGTGCTACCCCAGACCCTGCTCCAGAGCCAGGGATGGCCACCCTTGGAACATGTTGGGCATGAATGCCAGCCATTGTGGGTGCTTGGGCAAAGCCAAGGGCATTGTGTGGAGACCGTTGCCCGCCACCCCACCTAGCATCAGTAGTCAGCAGCCTAGTTGATGCGCTATGACGAGCCTGCGGCCCGTATCATTTTGTATGCCTGCCCTCTGGCCTGCCCACTTTCAGCCTTCAGGCTTGAATTGGGACGGCCTCATTGTTGGAGCTACCGCTGGCTGACTTACCACGTCACAATACTCTCAAACATGCGCAAAACGTGCATTCCTGGCGATGCCACCCAAGCCTTGGGGTTGCGAGGTCCCGCGCGAATGTTACAGTGGGCGCTGGGGGGGGAGGGCTGGGGGGGCACCGTCCAAGCGCCATGATGCTGCTTTTCTGCTGTGGCCCAAGCATTTGCGGCGCTTTGAAGGGCATGCGAGCTGTTGCCTTCGCTCTTGGACGATTTTGATGCAAAACCCTGGAATCCGGGCCTGCCCGGGCAAAGCGGTGCAATCCATCAACTGTCTTGGCGCAAGGGATGCGAAGCTTCTTTTTAGGTGGTTCGAATCCCTTGGACACATCAGCGCGAGGGTCCATCGCCTCGGAAGACCTTGGCCACAAAGGCCCCGCCCCTCCGCAGTAAAGACTCCGCCAGCAGCAGCTCGGAGATCAGCAGCTGGTGTTGCACGTACCTCTGAGTGGAAGGCGTG